CCACTTCCGGCACCGGCTCCCCTGCCTGATCCTCTACCACTTCCGGAACCTGCTCCACTACCTGAGCCGCTGCCACTTCCGGCACCGGCTCCACTGCCACTTCCGGCACCAGCTCCGCTGCCTGACCCTCTACCACTTCCGGCACCGGCTCCCCTGCCTGATCCTATACCACTTCCGGAACCTGCTCCACTACCTGAGCCGCTGCCACTTCCAGCACCGGCTCCACTGCCACTTCCGGCACCAGCCCCACTACCACTTCCGGCACCGGCCCCACTACCTGATCCACGGCCACTTCCGGCACCGACACCACTGCCTGATCCACTGCCACTTCCGGCACCCGCTCCACTGCCACTTCCGGCACCAGCTCCACTGCCTGACCCTCTACCACTTCCGGCACCGGCTCCCCTGCCTGATCCTATACCACTTCCGGAACCTGCTCCACTACCTGAGCCGCTGCCACTTCCAGCACCGGCTCCACTGCCACTTCCGGCACCAGCTCCACTGCCTGATCCACTGCCACTTCCAGCACCGACACCACTGCCTGCTCCTCTGCCACTTCCGGCACCTACTCCACTGCCTGCCCCGCTGCCACTTCCGGCACCGGCCCCACTACCTGATCCACGGCCACTTCCGGCACCGACACCACTGCCTGATCCGCTGCCGCTTCCAGCACCGGCCCCACTACCTGATCCACGGCCACTTCCTGCACCGGTTCCACTGCCTGCTCCTCTGCCACTTCCAGCACCTACTCCATGGCCTGACCCGCTGCCACTTCCGGCACCAGCTCCACTGCCACTTCCGGCACCGGCACCACTACCTGATCCATGGCCACTTCCTGCACCGGCTCCACTGCCTGCTCCTCTGCCACTTCCAGCACCAACTCCACTGCCTGATCCTCTACCACTTCCGGCACCTACTCCACTGCCTGACCCGCTGCCACTTCCGGCACCGGCCCCACTACCTGATCCACGGCCACTTCCGGCACCGACACCACTGCCTGATCCGCTGCCGCTTCCAGCACCGGCCCCACTACCTGATCCACGGCCACTTCCTGCACCGGTTCCACTGCCTGCGCCGCTGCCACTTCCGGCACCGGCCCCACTACCTGATCCACTGCCACTTCCAGCACCGACACCACTGCCTGCTCCTCTGCCACTTCCGGCACCGACACCACTGCCTGATCCGCTGCCGCTTCCAGCACCGGCCCCACTACCTGATCCACGGCCACTTCCTACACCGGTTCCACTGCCTGCTCCTCTGCCACTTCCAGCACCTACTCCATGGCCTGACCCGCTGCCACTTCCGGCACCAGCTCCACTGCCACTTCCGGCACCGGCACCACTACCTGATCCATGGCCACTTCCTGCACCGGCTCCACTGCCTGCTCCTCTGCCACTTCCAGCACCAACTCCACTGCCTGATCCTCTACCACTTCCGGCACCTACTCCACTGCCTGACCCGCTGCCACTTCCGGCACCGGCCCCACTACCTGATCCACGGCCACTTCCGGCACCGGCTCCCCTGCCTGATCCTCTACCACTTCCGGCACCGACACCACTGCCTGATCCACTGCCACTTCCGGTGCCAGCTCCGCGACCTGCTCCGGAACCGGCTCCTGTAAAATGAAATAGTTGGTACAACTCAAAATGAATACTTCTCATCAAGACCTCATTGTTCAGGGCAGATATTCATTTGTCGTTTATCACCTGATCCGGATCCGCTACCACTGCCTGCTCCTGCTCCGCTCCCAGTTCCTGAACCTGAACCAGATCCTGATCCACTGCCAGTTCCTGAACCTGAACCGGATCCTGGATGATGTAAGAAATTTTACCAAAAACGTTCTTTCGATTTCAGTGGTGGGGAGCACAACCGTATGTGGGGATTTGGGAAGATTGGGCGTATACGGCTGAAGTTACTCTTTGCCAAAAAACACTTTACACAACTACAAATTGCAATATCTATCATCATTTACGAAGCGATAAAATAGTACAATGTGTTCCAAGTGCGTAAAGCAATACTCTTTTGCATGCACTTGTAACACACTTTTTTTATACTTGTCGAGTTTACTGTTGCGGGCGGCAGTAGAGCCGACATTTTTCTGCATGGAGTAAATCAATTCAATGCCATGAAAAAAATAAGTTCCCAGTGCGTATAGCGTATCTTTACGCACTGGAATAGTTTGGTTTAACGCACGACCTGTGGAGTTGATCCATCCTAAACCGTCCCGAAAAGTGAACTTTTCGGTCAGGTATCTCAACAATTTTCTATTCACTATGCTATAATCTTCCATTTTATTCTTACTCCACTAGCTCAAAAAATTCTCCTTACCTGAGCCAGATGAGGATGCGCTGGACGCTGATCGCGCCGTCGCGCTTACAATGGACCAGCCATGCTCTCCTTCTTTGATTGTCACAACTGCATCTTGATTGAGTTTTTCAATCTGTTCAATCGTTCCCAGGTCAATTTGCAGTTCATCCAGTCCTTTTCCATCCTCAATAAACAAGTCCACTTTGACATCTCGCTTTCTGGGCGGACTGGCAGAAACCAGTCCCTGCCACGTGACCAGAGCAACAACAATCAGAAGGAAGCGCATCTTCCTACAAATCTCCTCACTGACTGCACATCCATCTCGCTTGTTATGCTTTTATACCGTATTGCATGGATAACGTCATACCTATACGCACAATTTCGTGTTGTCCCATCTGGCCAATGTTTGTCTATATCACAATCATCGTTATCATTACCAAATCGACATTCATTTCAGTTCATCAGCAATCCATTTATTTAAATACTGTGTTCGTGCAGATTACTTTACATATCATTACAAAATGCGATTCGCCATTGATGATATTTAAGTTTTTGTCTCTTGTTCCCAGCACAGCTGAGGTTTTTTGTGTTTTTTGCATCGATGTGAAGTCGCCAGAAAATGTATACATAAAAATTTCATCATGAGCTTCACTTCTGTGACCGATCAATTGAGCTAATTGCATCATTTTTTTTCGTTGAAGGAGGGCAATTGTACAGAGCAATTTAAGTAAAAATCTGTTTTTATCGTGTCACAAATCTTTGTTATCGGGCATGAAGCGTATTCTTCATCGTTTGTAACGCATTAGTTCTTCATTACTGATAAAATATGGAAAAAATGTTATAGAAAATCAACAAACTTCGATTTTTTCATACAACTTATTTTATCGAAAGATTTTCTACTGAAATTTTTTGGGTCATATTTTTCTAAGTTCTTTTTTTCACTCTTTCGAATGAAAAGCGCCGAAAAATCGAGTGGGAAATTCTAGAACATTCATGTCGAGGAATTCCTACAGAATATGTTCATAGTACCTATTGAACATGTTCTATTGAAAAGTGCGCACTAAATCTGTAAAATTCTTCAACAGAATCGTAAAAAACTAATAGAATTTTCAGTCAAAATACAATAGATTTTTCCATCGAATTCGCTATCTTTTATTATGAAATTTTCTCGTTCGTGTTTCCTCTTGATTTTCAACTGAAGTTAAAAAACTAAGATTCTCATACTTATCAGTCCATTTTCATATTGACCATTCAATTGTCGTCAATTAATCCATTCTCCGAAGGTTTTAATTTCATAAAGCAATAATGCACATTCACTTTGATCCCAAAGGAGACCATTTTCAAATTTTCTCGAATACGCGCGCTAGTTTATTTACCCAACCGCTGGCAGTAGCACAATATGTACCATTTGTTGATATGCAAAAGTTACCGGTGGCCTTTTACAGTGATGGCAGTTCTCTATTTATTATAAAAAACACATAATTATAACATTTCCACAGTGATCAATATATTTTTGACATTATTCGAACTAATTAACTTCCTATTCATCGATGTTCTGACTGGTTCAGTGCTTCGAGGTTAGCACTCTCATGCTGTTTGTTAATTCCTTGATGGTGTGAGTATTATTTGGAGATGGCTTCTACGTCAGGAAGTAGTTCAGAGGACGACGAGTATGATTATTGCAATGCTGCAGCTAGATTAAAAGGTAACATAAATAATTCTGCTAGGAAATGAATCAACTATTGACCCTTTCCCCTTAACTTTAGCTTTGAAATCACAGAAGAAAGATCCACCAAGGGCACCTCCACCCAGAGGAAAGCCTGGAGAAACTCCAGTCATAGAAACTCCTAATGGCAATGACATTGTAGTTAAGGAAACTGTGAAAAATGGCTCAGTTAAATCAGTGACATCAGTAGGCCAATGCTCAGACAGTGATGACGTCGTACGTTTCCTATTTTTTTTCTATTGAAAATTTTGGTGATTATTCTATTCTAGTGCTGTTCACTTGAATTATCGAAAAATTAAACAACTTGCTTATGCATTTCTTGAAGGGAAATGTTTAATTTAATGAATTCATGAAAATAATCGACAGATTTTGATTTTTATCATACAATATATACTATTGAATACTTCTATTAAAAACAATAAACAAATGCATGAAAAGCTGCGGAAATTTTCGATAGAATCAATGGAATTAATTTGCTCAATTTATTATTATTTATATCATAATAAAAAAAAAATATCTCTCCAGGAAACGATCTCAGATTCAGCGAGTTCTCACATGGATGAAGGTGTCATTGATCTGTCGTCAGTCGATGCTGAGCCTCCTAGAACCCTAGAAACACCCATTGAAATTCTTGACAGTCCACCGAGACAAGCACTGAACGAGAGTAACCTCGAAGGGCTTGATGACACAATCATTGATGACCCAATGGTCGATGTTCACGTCAGGTGGAAATCGAATAAGATCGAGAGCATTCAATTGGACAAGGTGAGGATAAAGGAATTTCCTTTTCCCTCTAAAAATTCCATCTTCACAATTATTCCCTCCCCCCTCACCGTGAAGTTTATTTTGTATTAATTGATAATGTGAATTAATGTTTCAGCATGAATCGTTAATGAAGATCTTCCAAAAATTTGCTGATCAAGAAAACATTCCAGTCAATCGGATAATTGTTACACGTAAAGATATGTTGATAAAACCCAGTGATACCCCAGCTAGTTTGAAATTATCAATAATCGATATTTTAGGTGAGTCTCAAAATTATAGTCTTTTATTTCACAGTTCCCTCAAAGAAATTATGTAAGTTAGTGTTACCTCCAAAATTCATGTTTTATTCACATGCAATCAGTGCGTGACCAGAAATTTCACTGCATTGAAAGACATAATAATAATGTCGAGATTATGATAAGCCTGATGCCATTCAATTTGTTGAAGTACGGAATGTGCGAGGACTTCAGAATAATTATATCTTCATTATCACCTGTCAAATCAATGAATTCGAGAAATCTATACAATTCAAGTACGTCAGACGTCTGCGGTGTGCGTTCACTTGACAATTTTTCTCTCAGACTTTCGTGCTTTCCGAAGAATAATATTATTGCGGAGTCGGTTTCCTCCCAGAACTCTAATTAGTCCAATGGGTATTCATCAATTTTATACTCACTCTAAAGATGTTTTGGTAGAATGCTCTGTAGAATTACGTGTCACATTGATCCTCCATTTTTGGGTTACAGGTCTAAATATTACGGAACCGTAATATTACCGTACATAAAGGTATGGTCTCCAAAAATCAAATCGATACAATAATAGCCCAATACCAAAAAATATGACCCGAGGTCAGTTACCATCGATTACTCAACAGGTGTATATTAATCCCCCAAAATAAAATAAAATTCCCTAAAACATTCACACACAACACCGAAGATTCTTCAACAAACGTTAGTTATATCAGAATGCTCGACACGGATGATAAAAAATGATATAAATAACGGAAAATAATAATCCATAACAATGGTGGTAATAATTAGAAAAATGATAATTAATAATGATATAATTTAATTCAACACAACTATCAAAAATCAATAATTTGCAAATGGAAATTATATTCATTGGATGATTAAAAAGTAGTAATAAAATGTTGTAATGTCACTTCCAATAATAAAAACGACCAATAATAATTAGAGCCCGTAACAATTTGGATCGTAATATTATTTACCGTAATATTATGGCGTAATATTTTTTACCGTAACATTTAGACCGGATACTCCATTTTTGTTCTCATTGATTTCTGAGAGAAAAACTTAGCGAATTTGCAAGACAATTCTGGTGAATTTCTATTGAACTTTCTGTTTGTTTTTTGGCTGATTCTATTGAACTGTTCACTAGAAAATATTCTGTAGAAAAAGTCAATAGAATTCGATTTTTCTGTACAACTTTTTCTCTTGAGATATTTTCTACAGAATTTCCTCGTCTCAAATTTTTCAATTTTTTTTCATTCTATTTTGTTTTTCTTTACATCAAGAAAATCAAACAAGAAAAATTGGAAAATTGCAAAATTTCCAAAGTTTTTACCGGATTTACATGCGTGTTCCATAGATAGCTGAATAGATACTTTCAATTCACAGAGGGGGGTGTCATAAGCGCGGAATCATCGAAACATCAGGAAAATCAAGACGAAGATGACGATGAAGACATGTGCAAGATAAAAGCACAAGTGTCAGCGAAGAAGTCTGTTATGTATAAACTAAGGAAAGACGAGCCATTCAGCAAACTCAGAGAACACTGTTCCAAGGAGTTGGAAGTCCCCGTGGAAAAGATTAAATTCTACTTCGATGGAGACCAGGTCGAAGATCCTGACACGCCTGACATTCTAGATCTAGACGATGAAGCATGTATCGATATTAAGATTCTAACATAATTAGTCCGTAAATTTAGTAGAGGCAGTAAAACTTCAGTTGACTCAGCCCTTAGCTGAATTTCTGAGGGATATCTCCGAATCTAAGGGAGATAACAAAATTTTTGTGAAGACCTTTTTTGTAGCGAGAAATGAGGCCTACAAAAAGGGTTTTGACAAAAATGTTGCTCTCTGCCTTAGGTTTCGAGATATTCATTGAAAACTGGCCGCTAGTCAAGATCGACTCGAATCGTTTTACCGCTGCGCTACTGAGTTGTCATTCTTTCATCTGATCATTGTGGTAACGAATATAGAATGAAGAAAATTAATTTTTGTACAATAAAATACGTTCTTTCAATCTTAATGCTTTGTTTTTATTGAACTGGAGCTGTATAAACATGGAAATACAATAATGCATGAAATGTAATTATTGGGATTTGCATAATTTTTTTTTCTTCCCTGTTTTTTTCATCTTTTGTTATCTTATTGTAGGCGAAAAATTCCATGGAAAAACCCAATTGCAGTTGGAGGAAAGAAATCTAATACTTCAATGTATTGTGCGCCATCCAATAAATATTTTTGTTCCTCATCGATGTAGTATTATTTTTTCAAATTCTACTGCACCGAAGACTTATGTTTACTCATACTGTTAGCACATGAGAGATAAGAAATTGCGTAGAAATTGAAATTACCAATGAAACATAATAAATAACTGATAACACTGAAACCTTGCCAGTTTTCAAGACCAATGGACGTTTACTCCAGCGATTCATAACGATTCCCGTAGAAACGAAAGGCTCTGTTCAATGATTTCTCCAACTCAATTAGTTCCTTGCAAGGGGCACGAGCGTGCTCGTTGAAGTGTACGATGCAATCAACGAGTTTGGATATGCGAAATGGGAAGTTTATTCCTTCCAGAGACTCGTTGAAGATCGTTCGAAGCATCTGGTCCCTTCCAGCGAGCACCTCGTTGATCGTTGCTCTTCCAATCAGGGATAATTCTTGTTTCTGGGGGATAACAGATAGAGAGAAATTTCTGTGAGATATTTTTCGGAATTTAATCGAGAATAATTCGTCAATTTTGAACATTCATGAATTTTCCATTCATGTCATAAATTCAATAAAATTTCATTTTTTTTAATTTCAAGAATGTGAAAGTCCCAGTAATAATATGAGCTGGGAATGAATTCAAAGTTCAAGGCAATAAACGTAAAAATTCTCATAATTTTTGGGAAAATTTAACATCAAATTGAAATTGAAATGATGAATTGAATGAATTCAAATTGTTTCTTCAAATGGCATTTTCTTATATTTCACAAATGTGAAAGTTTCAGTAATAATATGAAATGATGATAAATTCAAAGTTTAAGACAATAATTCTCAAAATTTTCATAATATTTGAGAAATTTCATGGAATTTTTACGAAATTGACTAATTTTTTGCTCAAAAAATCTAGAATGATGCTCAATAAATTATTCATTTGCGCATGTTTCTCTTAAAATTTCCGGGAAAATTTTCTATCAATAGCAAAACTTCAGAGGCCATACTGAAGTAACTGTTCAATGAAGTCTATGAATTTATTTCTGAATCACGAATATCTCTAAAAATCCAAGCGCCAAAAACCAATGCTAACAATGATGTACCTGATATGACTGACAATCCTCAGAAGTCCAATCATTCTCGCACGCAATGCACTTGCAATTGAAACAGTACTCAATCTTCAACTTCTCTCGTCTCTCAGTCCTCGTGTGAGAGAGGAAATCGCATCCATAATTGATGAATACCTGGTCGCCAGCTTTGATGGGTGTAAGTGCATAAACAGCGAGTTTGTTCTTGAAATCGTGTAATCCAGCTGATGCGTGACAGCTGTGATTAAACAGGGAAAATGCTGGAGTGATAGCAAAATATCGATTCACTGTTTTTCCATGTTTCTCTGATGTCACCTGAAACGACACAACAAAATTAACTCGAGCTGATAAATTCATGATTATTTACCGAAAATTACACTCACGAAGTAGCCGTTGTTAGCTGCAATCTGCATGTTCCTGAAAATCAGTGCAGCCACAGAGATGAAGTCCTCTCTACTGACTGCACAAACGATATCAGCAATCACATATTCCCTCATGGCTTCAGTGCTACGAACAATAAGAATCGAGATGAATAGAGACGAGAATGACCACCAGAATTGGGCGAATGGGGATCGTTTGTCAGCGTGCTGCATCAGGCCACAGATACTCGAGAATTCGGATGGATGTAGAATACCTTTCACAAAGCCTTTTGTCAATGAATCTGCACAGAAGGAAATCGAATTGTACATTAGCCAAAAGCACGAACTAATAATGACATTTCCATCAATTTTTGTTCCAATAGACAAGTCCATTTGAAATTTCTAGTAAAAATTGAGGGCATATTCAACCTCTTCAACTATTTAATTCAATATTTTACAGGACATTTCAATAGCTTTGTCACAGCGGAATTTCGAATGGAAATTTCAATGACAATTTCATATGATAATAAAAGTTTGTGAATTATGAAAATTCAAGTGAGGATGGCAAATGGATTTGTAAATTCAAGTTCCGATTAAAATTTTCGCATTCTTTGAAAACAAAAAAATTAAACTTCGTGACTTTCCTGAATACATAAAAAAAATCATTGAACTCATTGTCTCATTAAATCATTAAAATCATCAAATCAATTAAACATTCAAAAATGTCCCACAGTGTAATTGAGATTCTGTACGGAATTTGTTGCATTATTGGATTACTAAACATTTCCCCTTTCATTCCGTGAGAAATAAGAAATCTCTCAACATTCTCGCATTAATTGCTAAAAATTCAATTTAAATTCAACTAAAATTTTTCTTCTGGTTAATCGTTTTTCATTAAACAATCATTTTCTCCCGGACAACTAAATATCCCCCATAAGCTAAAAATCGACTCATCAGGTCTCCAGCTCTACCTGAACAAGACTCAATCTTCCTCAAAACGTTTTTGACCCCATCGATGCCCCCAGCCTCCTTCATCGCCAGAATACTCAGTCTGAAAGCCATGAGAAAGACGTGATCGACCTCCTGCGCCTGTACGAGAGGCAAAATGAGGCACTCCATGTCATGATACTCCCTCCAAGCGTTCCTCCTGCATTCCTCATCGCAAAATACCGCATAGACACACGATCTGCAGGGGATCCCAGCCCTGATCTGACCTGCGCAGTGCCAGCACAGCCTATAGAACATTTCCGGACAGATGACCTTGGCGTAAGGCTTCTGGACCCCAAGAATTTCCCCAGGTTTGATGTCCTTGGCAGCCACGAAGTGCCTTCCAAAGTCCTCCGAATACTTCAACTTCAGTCCCGATGAAATCCCCGGGAGTGATGCACTCTCATCCAAGAGTTCAGGTGAATAATCCTCGCAGGGCCACTTCTTGAAGGGTTCCCCCACGTCCTTGTTCGACTCGTCGGCCTTGGGCCTCTCCAAAAAAGCCCGAATGGTCTCTCTACTCGAGTCCTTGGGGTCCATTTTCCCCAGCCACTGGGAAACAGCGAGAGTCGTTCTCCTGAACTCAGCCTCATTAGACCTCTTCAAAGCATAAAGACACTTGCACTTCCTCACGAGTAATTTGGCACGCAGTCTGTCCGGGTAGAGATCACTCCCGAGGGCCTTCTCAATGTCCAAGAGGCAGTCCTCGTAGGCCCTCGCCTTGAATAATGCAGCACTGCGATTTGCGTACGCCAGGGCCAACTCTTTTGTATCGCCTGGAGAGTATGCAACACTCTTCGTATAAATAGCGATGATATTATCGAGATTAGAGTAAATATTCGAGACGAATTCGCTGTTCCCCTCCTCTCTGAATGCAATCGACTTCTCGGTGCTCTTTTCATCGGTTGGAAATGTCGCTGTGTTCAGGAACAGCTCGAAATAGGGCACCGTAAACTTGATTTTCTCCTCGTCGTTCTCGAGGAACGAAAATCCACGCTTATTCACTCCGTTGATCACGTTAATCACGTGGGGATTCGATCGAATGTAGTTCGGAATACGTAAATCCATTTTTGTGGATTTGGGGGGTTTTTTGGGAATTGTGAGGGTCAGCGATGAAAACTGTTAAGATGGAAGTCTTTCGGGGATGCTGTTCGATCAACTACTGCGTCAGTCCTTTGTTTGGGCCGGGCTCGGTGTACGCGGCCCTCGCCGGTCACCGGATACGGCGGTTTGTTTACATTCCGATTGGCTGGGAATGAGATATCAGAAGGTTACGCGAATGAGATGACGAATCTGATTATTTTGCAGAATAATCTTATCGATTATACGGGTAATGCGATTGCAAAAGTGAAAATTTTTTATTGTGTTCAATTTTACGAATAAAATTCGATTCCAAAAATGATAAATTTGTGTTGCGATGCTTGCGAAGTTCAGTAGCGAAGCGTAAAGCGGTTTATGTCGACTTTGCTCGTAGCTGAGTTTCCGAGAAATATCTTCGGATCTAACGAAGATAACGAAATTTTTGCAATGAGATTTTTTCTAAAAAACTTTTTCGACAAAAATTTTGCTAAAAATCACCAATGGTCAATTACATCAAAAGCTTTAAACGATTTTACCAGATCTAGGAGTTTAAGAATGTACTACACCCTTTCGGCCAAAATTCACGTTTTTTTTCATTTTTCTAGCAAATTATTGATCGGATTGACGCGAAATAATGTACCGTTTTTGCGTTTTATCATTATTGACTGACTCACGAAGTTTCATGGTAGTGCAATCATTTTCCTGCATTTTTTCTAAAGTTTTGTGAATTTTCGAAAAGTTTTAGAAAAAACGCAGGAAAATGATTGCACGATCATGAAATTTCGTGAGTCATTAGGTAATGATAAAACGCAAAAACGGTATATTCTTTCACGTCAATCCGATCAACAATTTACCAGAAAAATTGAAAAAACGTGAATTTTGGTGAAAAGGATGTAATAGATCCTTGAGGTAAGAGAGCGATTTCTTACAAAATTCAATTTTTCCATAGAACAACGATTAATTTTTTATCGGTAGTCAGCCAAAAATAACTTTGTAATTTATATTTTGACTTGAGATGTTGCCAAATGTATGATTTGCCGGGATGTGAATAAGGGTATGTTAAGTCAGTCCCATCGTGGCTGGTGTTCCGACAACTTTTCGAGCTTCTCCCTTCAATTAGTTTTCATTAAAGTTTACTTACAGTTGTCATAAGTTTATTGAGTTTGTAGTTGACAGTTTAAAGTTTTTCGAGTTCAAAAAGTTTAATAAATAAGGTTTTAATGTGCTCTCCTAAGTACTGGTCTAATGGATTTATTTCAAAAATAAAACTTCAACCAAATTATTCCGTCACAAACGAGTCAACTTCGTCCTCATTAGAGGTTTGGCGGCTAACGTATCCACTCTTCAAGTTTGGCGCTCAATATTTCAAAAGGTGCCACTGTGGTCGGACATCATCGTTCATCGCCTACGCAGTAGATAAAGAAGGGTTCTAATTCACCCGACGTCGATAATGTGGTACGAGATTGTATTCTTTTCCATTATGTCTGTTCTAAGTGTTTGCATCAACGAAACAGTTGTCCCCGATTGTCTCTCCGTATAAAATAAAACCGAAGCTACCGGGGGACTCCGGTTAGCCCCGAGTCCTAAGCAATATTCCGTTGTTGTAAATAATTAATGTTTGTTTTTTGATACATTAAGGTGTAATTACAAATCCGATAAAAATAGGGAGGAAAAATTGTGAGGGAAAACGGCGTCTCGAAGAAAGGGATCTTCAAGGATGTCCTCCGAGGCAGACGAATTGGAGGCAAGTACTGAATTCACCTGGTGATGACTGCGTTGAGCATTTGATTCTCAAGTGAAATAAAAAACATGACGACAAGCCCATGGTGGCACATATCGGGGGACATGGGAACACCATAACCCCTCATTTGTTTCATAAACCCATCATTTTCCCTCTCATTCTTGCCCCTCAACCATTAATCCCCTCTGACACTCCAAAAGTATTGAGAACAGATACAATTGTAATCAACCTCGGTCAGCAGAATTCAATCCACCTAACGCAATGGCATTTATGTTTCAGAATATGGTATTAAGTTTTCGAGTGTCTGAGCTTCAGATGCTTTTAGGTTTCGCTGGTAGAAACAAATCGGGACGTAAAAACGAATTGCAATTGCGTGCTTTGGAATTATTGAGACTGAGATCGCATCCAGTGCAGTTGAAAATTCGTGAACTCTATAAAACAATTCAGTGAGTAAATAAATATTGAGTGGATTTGTGAAACTAAATCTACGTCATGGAGAATTATATCTCAATTTTTCGAGAGATATTCTTCGTAGATTGACTTTTTTTACAGAAAAGATGCCATCGAAATTTTTTACGTAGCAAAAAAAATTTTAAGGCTTGTTTTTGCTGGAAAATTCTATTGGGATTCGGTTTTCTGTTGATAGACGCTCTGTCTTTCTTCCTGTATGCCTTTGTGGTCACCACTAGAGAATGGAAAATAAAAAGGGAAAAGTTGCGGTGGAAAATTTACATCTATTGGCCTTTTCCCATAGAATATGCATGGAAATAGTTTTAAAGAACAAAATAAAATCCAATGTGTTGTTTTCCCAAATTTTCTATTAAATTTCCTCACGTGTCATTAATTATCCATCAACAACTGACCTCACAGTTAAACTGACTCAAATAAGTTCATCGAATTTTCACTCATGTCACTTTCATTTTTCACTACAAACATCGATCATCGACATTGTTTCAGAGCGGATCAGTTAGCTGCCCACCAAATGTACAGCCAACAAAGTGGTGATTCTCAATTGGACGAAAACATGCATCAGAGAAACGATGATGCAAGGTAGAGTTCATAATTTCTTCTATAATCATATTAAAATGCATGATTTATATTTCTCTATGAAGACAACACCATAATAATGAATCCTGGATCAGGGTTCTGCGTAGAGTCACCCAGCAGCATGGAGGATCTGGAGTGGCACCTGGGAAGGATTTGCCACCTGCTCACCAGGCGTCTATGCCGCAGTCTCAGGTCGCCAGGGCACCACCGGTTTATCAGCCCTCGAGTTATCAAGCAGTTGCAGCTCAGGTAATTGAAGTATTTGTTTTTGTGGAAAAAATTGCATGGAGAATTTTTAAAAAATCGGGAAACTGGATTTCGTCTATTCATTCATTCATTAATTCACTTGCTTATTTATTTATTATTGTGTGAGACCCAACAAAAACTCAATATAAGAAACATTTTTAAAAATCTTTAGACATTATTAAAACATCTACCCTCTCCATAAATTTTTCTTTTCATTTTCAGTTGGAAATTCTCGATTTTATCTTTCAAAATAAAACGAAAAGAACTAGTAATTTTTTGTACTTTAAAAATCCCATCATTTTCTTTACGAAAAAAATTATAACAATGCAACAGCTCAATTGATTAACCGTGTTCAATTGTTTGACTGCTGAAGTGTTTCGTACAAATAATTTTTCCGTTTTACAGAGATCGAACAACACTGTTTATGCTCCCTACCCCTATTCAACAAAAGTCCTGCCCCCACCAATGCAAATCCAGCAGCCGAGTCAGTATCCAGTGCATCCAGACGTCAGACTGAAGAAGTTACCCTTCTACGACTTACTTGGAGAATTGCTCAAACCCTCGAGCCTGATGCCCCAGGGCTCCATGAGACTGCAGGAGAACAGTTTCCAGTTTCACTTGACCCCACAACAGGCGTCCGACATTGCTACTTACAGGGATTGCAGACCAGGGTCCAAAATGGAATATATTATTCAAGTAATTGAGGTTTTCATCCCCTCTAATTGGCGCCCTGTCGTTTTTAGTTTTTTATTCTCATAGAGACTTGCGCTATTCATTCTTGTTGCAGGTTCAGATGAGATTCTGCCTTCAGGAGACATCCTGCGAGCAGGAGGACTATTTCCCACCCAGTGTTCAGGTGAAAGTCAATGGAAAACAATGCCCACTGCCAGTGAGTTCTCACTTTCATTCATTTTTATTTATTTATAAGGACAACAACGCAAAATGAGAGATTATGGAAAATTAGTATTAACTTCCACAGAAAACAATATTTGATATCTAAAAAATTTTTCAAGCCTTGCATGTTATCTTCTTTACATTTTTAAACTAATCTGCCCAACTATTTAATTCATCAATGTCAAATTGACAGTTGTTACGAAACGATTATGAAGCTTTTCATGAAGTTCTCCACAAATTCTTCAGTTCTGAAGAATAAAGTTTATCAAATTTATGAAGTTTAGAAAATGATTTGTTTATTGGAAATTCTTCAGTTCTTCAATTTCTGAAATTAATACTGTTCATCATTAATTTCAGAATCCCATTCCCACGAATAAACCAGGAGTCGAGCCGAAACGACCTCCACGACCAGTTAACATAAGCCCCCTAGTGAAGCTCTCCCCAACAGTAGCCAACACAATCCAAGTGACCTGGTCCGCTGATTACGGCAGACGTTATGCAGTAGCAATCTACATGGTTAAAAAATTAACGAGCTCAGAATTACTCAGTAGACTTAAGAACCGAGGTGCCAGACATTCCGATTACACACGTGGTCTCATCAAAGAGAAACTCAATGAGGATGCAGACAGTGAAATAGCCACAACGTCGCTGCGTGTGTCACTGGCATGTCCGCTGGGTAAAATGAGAATGAGTACACCGTGTCGTGCCAGCACCTGTTTGCATCTACAGTGCTTCGATGCGTCGTTGTATCTCCAGATGAACGAGAGAAAACCCACTTGGAACTGTCCTGTTTGTGATAAAACAGCACTTTATGATAATCTCGTTATTGATGGGTATTTCCAAGAAGTTCTGCTGTCTAAGAAATTGTTGAGTGATGTCAATGAGATACAGCTGCTGCAGGATGGCTCTTGGGAGAATTTAGTACTGAAGAAGGAGAAGGATAAGGACAAGGACAAGGGGGAGGCGAAGGCAGAGTCCAATTCACGGGCTAAAGTCGATGTTGATACAGTCGATTTAGGTATGAACTAATTTCATTTGTCAATTAAATTAAACGAATTTCATTTCATTCTTAATGAGAAGCACTTGTACTGATGAAGAGGAACACTATTATCTTGAAAAATCATTTCTTTTCATAGAAAAAGTAATGAAATGTGAAAACGAGATGACCAAACTTCATTAAAAAACTCAATGCATTCGATAGAAAATTTCGTTGGATTTCTACTGAACTTCTATTGGAAAATTCCGGAGCTTTATTACGCTTTTTTTTACAGAAAATGTCCAATAGAGAAGAAATCAGTAATCAATTTCTTTCAATAGAAATCCAATGGAATTTTCTAGCAAATTCGCTCGTTTTTTCAATGAAATGTTTTCAAAACAATGAATTGATGATTAAATTGTTCAATTTTTTGTTTCCACAGACGAAAGTACCTCAGCAGTATCATCGAAACCAGAGGAGAAGAAGAATGCTCCAGTAATTGATCTGATTTCCGACTCAGAGGATGACGACGAGGGTCCTGCAGCAAAACAGATGAAAATGTCCAATAATAAAAATCCCTCGAGTCAAGGGACTCCTCGGAGAAATCACGACAATGCCAGGAGAGACAGTGAGTCTCCCGATCTGTTGGTCATCAATCTCGAGTAAAAACCGGACTTTTCATTCTACCATTTCAGTTATTTCAACAGCTTAATGTAAACGTAATTCTGATGTAAGTGCGTACCAAAGTCGATTCGTGAAGCACATGGTTTATGAACAACTAAGGACTTTTGTTTGTATTAAAAAAACAATTTCATTTTCTTGAATTTCTTAAAAATGTATGGCTATTCTTTTCACTTCTATAAATAAAATATGAAAGTAATAATCGGGGTTGAGTTTAATTTTTATGTTAGAAATAGACGGTAAGGTTGAGTTTGTCCGGCCCTGGGTGAGTGTTTTCGGCTCGCTGCTCTGAGCCCATTGCATCGACACTGTCACCTGTCTGGACAGAAGGAAAGAAATTATTTTCATTTTTATTCTAATTATTTGATTACTTGTACATTTTTGAATATTTTGAACACAGAATTATTCCAATGGGGAGGGATTTTTTGGCAAAATGTCACGGGACTTCAATCGTTAATATCTTCTGATCAAACGATACAAACAATTTGAACTCATTTTGAATCCCATTTAATGTTTATTTTAAAATTGTGTCAAATAAAATTTACTCTACTGTCATTCCCAAAAATTTCTTATTCGTGCAATTTCACAATTATTGAATATGAAATTCCAATGATGAGTTCTTGAAGCTTAAAAAATACCTTGAAAATAAAAAAATGGAAATTCCTCTCTGTCTTCTTAATTTACTGAATATTAAAGGTAGACCCCACTTTCCCTCATTCTTTAAAAAAATGACTTTGAAGGGAAATCCACTCGTTTTATTTTACAAATTCATTATTACATCGACAAAAATACGATAAAAATGTCTGGAATAATTGCACTTGATCACTTGAATTTGAAATTTAGTGAAATAATATCTTACTCTACTGTCATCATTCCAAGACAATTTTTTAACATGTCTGGAGTCGTCGGCAGGCCAAGCAGGGATCAGAGAATCAGGTGGATCCCCCGAGAAATTCGATGAATTCTGTGAAACTGTATCTAGGTTCATCCTCGCACTCAGGTCATTCATATTCTGCACGAGTCCTCCGATATTCGGAATATTTGACGTTGCAGATAACGAGGGGGTAATCGGCATCGGAGCGACTTTGTGACGGCCGTAAGTCGGCGGTTGACGGTTGGAGTCTTGAATACTTCCGGCGTTGTACGGGTTCTCGTTGTCCTCCCCGAAAACTGGATTCTTCGTTCCTCGCGGTCGTCTCGTGCTTTTTGAGGTTTCCTCGTGAATCGCAGTTGCTCCGAGGATCTGGGGGCTCGAACTCAGGGCAGAGGGAACTGGGGATTTCCCGCGGTAGCCCGTGCCGATGGAATTCACTGAGCCTGAATTTTTTGGACGCTTTCTGAAGTCAAAGGAACGAATAAAGAAATGAGGAGATGACACTCGCAGGAATTTTTGGTTGAAATTTCTGGTACACTTTTTGGAAATTTTTATGAAGTTACTTGCACTGAAATTTGAACGAATTTCATGATTCAAAATTCACAAGTTTATGGAAAAATCAGGGAAAAATGGAGATTTTAGTTCAACTGTTCCGCAAAAATTAATAATATTGTTTTACTGAATTGAAATTGGAAATTAAATTTTTTTTTCTTCCCCTAAATCCAATGTAATGTACATTGTTAAATATTCTTGTCTACATTTTTTTTGTCAGATTCTGGAAATTTTCATCAAGATTTCCTATTAAATTCAGGAACTATCATTATGAAAAATTGAACATTCCATTGATTTTTTAATAATTCGATCAGAACATGAATGAAAACTGTAAATTTTGGTTCCATTATTCCTGGAAAATCAGAAAAATTATGATAATTCCGTCCATTTGGGTTTTGAAAAGTCATGTTCAATTAAATATCCAAGTAACTTGTGGAATTCGTATGTTACTTCTGCTGAAAGATGGCATTTCACTATTATGTTCCCCCTAAATCGAATTCAATGTCATTCTTATGAAAATGACTACCAGATTGCCCATAAAATTTCAATTGTTTTCTAACAGTCTCATTACAATTCACAACAACATGAAATTGACTGGGAAAAAATAGTGAAAAATAATTTTTCAAAACGAAAAAAATTCTGTAAAATTCATTCAAGTTGAAGAAATGAGTAAAAATGAAAATCATAGTTTTACTTCAATGTTGTACTCACTGTTTATAGATATAAAGTATGAGAATTAAAATAACAACTCCCAAGAGTCCCAAAACGACTCCAAAAACAGCAACAAGTAGAATGCTCCCATTGAGCCAGGCAGGAGCAGCTCTAGCCGCAACGGGTGATCTAGCGTTTGGTGGTATGTGAACAATGAGGGGGATCATGCTCGTTCGTGGTGGCTTCCCCGTGTCTGAGGCAACCGCAACGAGCCTAGCCAGGGAACCGTTGAATGGGCCTGAGGATGTTAAGATCAGTTCTCCATTGTCTCGGATTTCGAATAATCTAGCGTCCGGTCCTCGAAGGGACAGTGAAACCCGGTCTCCTCGGTCGCCGTCCGCTGCCTCCAAACGACCCACGATAGAGCCCACTCGAAGAGTTCGAGCATGAAATTCGTAGCGCGGGTGACGAAATCGGGGCTCCCATTCGTTTACGTCTTGCACTGAGACGTTTACACGGGCTGTGTCATTCTGGAAGAACATTTTCACTTTTCTAACTTGGGTTTTGCACGAAAAGTTTTCCACTGGTTTCTCATTTTTTTAAAGAATATGAAAATAGACATGTATTTCGTCTTTTCAAATCAATCAAAAACCTACCGAGTTCGATATAAAATTGTATTGAATTTCTATTGTATATTCTGCCATTTTTTGGCCCAATTTTATTGAAGAATTTCTAATAGAAACTATTTTACAGAGAACATTAGTAGAATTTTATCTTTCTACACAACTTTTCCTATAGAAAGTTATCAATTTTGATGAATGCATTTTAAAAAAGTAATATAATTGCTATAGAATAAGTAAATTTTTATTTGTCTTCTCTTTGTCAGAAAAAAAAATGTTGAAAATTTGAACCGAGGACATTCTATAGAAAATAGTATGAACAAAAAAATGAACAAAAGGGACAATAAAAAATACATGTTATTTTTCAACTCCCCGTCATATTCCACGATTTCTTCTCATGAAAAAACCTCAATTCTTATAAATCGGAGGGCTTTACATTTATTCCGTCAGAGACGTGTACAAGGAAGCTGTGGAGAATTTTCTTCTCGTAATCCAACGGCTCTTTGAGCAGCAATTCCCCGGAATGTGTGATGGAAAACCTCTCCATTTCGTCAGTGACACCGTCGAGCCAGAATCGCAGCTTTGTGTCGATTTTATTCACCCCCGTTGTGAGGATTATACTACCGGGAGGAGTGTTCTCTGAGACACTCGTGAGAAAGTTTTTTAACACGAATTTCACTGGCAAATTTCCACCTTTGAACAATTAACGTGAATATTTTTTTAATTAATGACGAACGGTCTTTTCAATTCGTAATGAAGAATGCATTTTGCATATTTGAAAAAATCCCATTCTTTCCGAGAATTGCATGGTTATAATATGATTCCTTTTCTTTTTCTTAAGATAATCAATCATGTCACGAGGAAAAATCAGATATTTTCTGTAGAAGATTTCTTCATCTACAAATAATATCATTTTCTAATATCATTTGATATCATTTTATCGATTTGTTCTGAGATTGTAAATTTTCCGACTAATTGCGTAATCAAAAGAAATTCGTGACTGGATTTATTTTCGAAGCTGCAAATTTCTCAAGAGAAATAGTTTTGCGCTCAATAAACCTTTCAACAAATAACGTGAATATTTTTAATTAATAACGAATGTTTTTTTATTCATAATAACCAATGTATTTTGAATATGTGGAAAAATCCCATGCAATAGCCTAACAATTTTTTCTATTCGTTATTTTTTGGAAGAATCGCATGTTTATAATATGATGCCTTTCCATTTTTGCAAGATAATCAATTATGTCACGAAGAAAAATCAGAAATTTTCTGTAGAATATTTCTTCATCTACAAATAAAAAAAATTCACATTTTGTCCTGAGATTGTGAATTTTCCGAATAATTTCATAATCAAAAGAAATTAGTGACTAGACTATTTAGTGACTATTGATTTTCGAATCTGCAAATTTCTCAAGAGAAATAATTTTCGGCTGAATATACCTGCTTTAGTCGATGCCTCACGTCCATTCTCCCGACTCACCATAACAGTTGCGAGACTGTATCGATCGGGATTGTCAATTTGCGTTGCCTAAACAATGAACATAACGAAAACTCCAATTAAGTAAATATCTTCCTTCACCGAAAAGTCACGTACCTTAAGAACCATGGTAACAGGTGTTGATAATTCATGGTCCATCAATGGACGTGTGAGAGAAATTTCACCAGTCTGTGAATTGAGACTCAAGAAAGGAAGAATCCCACCCTGAATAGTGTACTTAATCGGGGCATTGATTCCAGTGTCTTGGTCACGAGCTTCAATAGGTGCCGGAGAAACCGCCAACACCTTTCTCTGTGAATGAACAATAGAGTTATTGTTTCATGGAGCAGGTGATCAAAATGCTCAGACAAGTGATGGATACCCAATGGCCCTTACATTTCTAACTGTTTCCGGGACGACGATGCTGTACTGGTCGTGCAGAAATGCCGGATTTTGATCATCCGCGTCGATTACATTCACCGAGAGTGTCGTAATGGATGACTGCGGAGGATTTCCTTGATCCTAAAATTACGGGGAGAATAATGGACTGTTTGAAATTCTAACGCACTTGGTGATGAATGTCATTTCTAACTATTGTAATTACCCACTTGTAAAAAATTGTACTTCCCAACTAGTGCGTTAACGTAAGATTTTGGAATTTAATTGACCGGAAGATGTTAATTAGCTTTGGGAAAATGATTCTGGAGGGATTGGGTTTTTACGTAATTTTTTTATTGAAAATGAAAAATTAATGAGAAAACATTTTGGACACGTATTCTAAAATTCGATGACTGCTCGATTTTGCATGATTTTTCGAACTAGAAAAATACGTGTGCTAAATTATTCATTCAGCTTCCGTATTTAATCGTTTTGTTAAATGGGAAAAATTAATCCAAAATGGATTTTTTGTCATATTTAACAAAAGCGGAAGTTGTAATAATCATTTTAATTTGTAAATTCATTGAAAAAATTGACGATTCCATTTCTCTCATCAAAAGCACTTAAACCTTGCGATATTGTCTACGAAAAATACAATATTATTTTGAGTGAAATGAAATAAAGAACTTTTGAATCATTTTTAAACATGGCTTTGCATATTTTTCATATTTAACGAATGCAAAAGTTTCATAAATAACGTGAATTGACAAATTACTTTCAAACAATACATGTAATATCAGAATAAATTTTGAATGAATTGAAAATTCAGCACAAAAACTGAATTTTATATTTCTATTGAATTTTCACGAAATTTCCTGTTTTTTCAGTATTAAAATTCATGGAAAATCCCTCTGAATCAGTTTTTGCTAAATTCCCCATCACCTCTCAAACGGTCTCGCGTCATTTAGAAAAATGCTACAAACCTGAGCGCGAATATTAACGGAAAAATTATTCAGTGTTTCGTAATCCAGAGGCTTTCGCAGCACCAGGGTTCCCTCCAAAGCATTAATAAACACGAAATAATCCTGAAAAAAGGAATGTCAATAACTCTAGTGCATTTTTCTTCTTCAGCGTTTAAGGTACTTCATTCGAAAGAGGTAAATGATGACATTAATCTAGGATTTCCACAGAATATTTATGATAATAGTTGGAGGATGTAGAAATTTTCTCTTAATTTTATCAGAATTCATTTTTAAATTAAGAATTTGAAGATTCTTACAGGCACCAGAACAATCTACTGGGTTTTGGCCGATTCTATTAAAGAATTTCACAACTGTACAGCGCGTTTTTTTAATAGAAAATTTCCGATCAAAATTATTTTATAGGAAAATTCAGTAGAGTTTTCCATAGAAATTCCTTGGCATGCATTCTCCAATTTTTTTTTCTTGCTTTTTCATTAAAAAAATTAAACAAAAAATTTAGAAAAAAAAGTTCTGCTGATTTTTTATAGAATATTTTCCATTGAAAATTTCTATTTAACAAACGCGCAGTAGAGCTGCGGAATTCTTCAATAGAATTGGCTAAACACTGATAGAAAGTTCAACAGAACTGCAATGAAATTTTTCAATTGAATTCGCTAGGTTTATCTATGAATTTATCTCGTATGCGTACACGCATGAAAAAAATTAATAGAAAAACCTAGCGAATTCGCTAGAAAATTCTATTGGATTTCAGTTAAACTTTTCATGAGTTTTTGGCTAATTCTATTGGAATATTCAATAGGAAATATTCTGTAGAAAAAGTCAATGGAATTAGATTTTTCTACAGAACGTAATCTATTGAGATATTTTCTAAAGAATTTCCTCGGCTCAGTTTTCCCAAGCTTTTTCGCTCTATTTTTCTTTTCTTTTCATTCAGAAAATCAAACAAAAAAAAACTTAGGAAAACCGAATTTTATTGACTTTTTCTATAGAATATTTTCTATTGAACATTTTGATAGAATCGGTCAAGAATCAATAGAACTCATAGAAATTCAATAGCATTGTCTAGCTAATTCGCTAAGTTGTTCGAAATCTAGAAACCTAGAATTTTTTTCTTGTACATACACGAAAAATTCAGGAGACTTCTGCGAGGATCTTGCATAATGAACTTCCTATGAAAATTAATGTCATAATTTTTTTAATACTCCGTTGGTCGCGCTATGCGCGCCGCACTTTTTTCGATTTTTTAAATTACACTGTAGTAAACAACTGAAGTAAACCCTCAGAAAAATTTGAAAAAATTTGACATCTCATTTTGACGTGTCTAGAAGTCCTATCAATAAAATCAATGAAATGTCTACCAAAAATATTGTAAAGAACGGGTACATTTAATAAATAAATAACTGTTTATTAAAGATTTTGAGGCAAAAAGGAGTGACGCGTCCGCGGATGAAGATAAAAGAATAACGAGAAAGAAAGAGGTGATCGTATATAAAAGTGGCTGAGAAGGAGGAAAAGTAGTTGGATTTTCAAATTTTTATTCCAAAACTCTGGGCCGTGTACCGTGTATAAGGCGAATTTTCCGAAAAACATGTCAACTTCGAGTTTAAATATATAATTAAGGGTACCACTGAACATAAAAAATCTCACGGGACGTCTTCAAGTATACGATCTAGATCACTCTTGATTTTTTTCATATTTTTCCTAGATCTTTCAAATTTATCATTCCGTCGATTTATGCCGGTGCGGCGCGGCGCTTACGGCGCGGCCAGCGGCGTTCGCAGCTTTTGCGCGACCAACGGAGTGTTAACAGACGAAATCTCTTAGAAAATTGGATTAATTACAGAATGCGAGCCAGGAAGAACGGCATATTGCACAGTGGAGTACGGTCCCGGTTGATCGGCATCGATGGCTCTGACTCCCTGGAGCACCCTGGTCCCCACCACCGTGACCTGAATTCACGGAAAAGAAAAGAAAAAACGCTGGAGTAGCATAATTTTTCCATGTCAGATGGCCAAGATTCATCCACTAATGGCACATCTCCAACGAAACATAGGAAATATCCGCTGTTTTATTGTAACGGCGAGTGAGTACAGCGTTACGCGTAGCTGGTAACGCGCTAGCTCACCCACTCGTCTCGTTCACTAACACATAACGAAATTTCAAGTTGACTCGTCATTCGCTACATCCCCTACTCCAAACGTTAAACTCAAGTTACGGTTTGCTGAATTTCATGCATTAATGGCTTTCAACAACGAAACTCTAAATGCTGAACTACTAAGTATAATACTTGAAACGAAGAAAACAAAAATCTGGGATAAATAATACTCGATTAATTGATTTTTTTCGGGTAATTGTTTAGAGCTTTGTTTACCTCGGATATGTTGAGAATGTAGGGTGCATTGACGAACTGGGGCGCGTTATCGTTGGCGTCGGTTACTCGTATATTTACAGGTATCATAAAGCCCTGGAATATGCAAGTAATAACTGTAGAATCAGGAAGTAATTACATTAATTGGGGATTGAACAACTGCGGGAATGATTTTTCGGTAACAAGTGGATGCACCAAAAAATGTCGATGCAGATCGCTAGGTTTTAGAAAGTTGGGGAAGACCCCTTCTCGTAGAAAGTGGCTGGCATTGTGACTTATGAATTAATTATACTGTTAACAAACTGAAATTATGAGGGCAATTTGCGGGAGAGATAAGGAAGTATTATGAAAAAATCGAGGAAGTCGATTTCAAATGAACAAGTACGAAAAAATTCAACAGAAAAAGCCGCGCATTTCATACGATTTTTTCTCGGGCGGCTCTTTTTGATAAAAATACTTCAATTGATTTGAATTTGATTTTTTTTCCCAATCAATCATGATATATAGTACAAAAATTCCTTGGTATGAATTTCTCAAATGTTCTGACTGCAATTATATTCCTTTCTCATGAAAAAATTCAAAAAGAAAACAATCTCAACAGAATAACTTGTACAAAAATAACCAAAATCAATTGTTTTTTATATTTTCTATTAAATTTCGTGAAATTATGAGTGCAATTTACGGGAGAAATAAAGAAATATTATAAAACAAAAAAAAGTTTTTTCCTGCGTTTCTTTTTAACACAAATATTTCATAGATTTTCATTTTTGTACGCAATAAATGCAGATATCTTCTTCAAAAATTGATCAATATAAATTTCTCAAATCTTCTCACAGCATTTATTCCCCATTCTCGTCATAAAATTCACCCGGAAAAGAACCTCAACATAATGAATCGCATAAAATATTTTCCATTAAATTTCTTGATACGTGAAATAAACTCGTGTCACGACTTTCCAGAGTTATGAACTTACGGGATCTAGCGTGTGTCGTCTCTCGCATATAATGTTAATGTATACACTGGCGGGACCATCGATGCCCTCCTTATCAAGTGGTCTAATAAGCGTTAAATTTCGCGAATGAGGTAATATAGTAACTGGACTATCATGCTCTTGAAGACGTAATTCTATATCTCCATCGATACTTGGATCCCCAAGGACCCCTAAAACACCAATGGTATCGCCGACTTTTTTGTCCTCGCCGACAAAGAGATGCGAGGATGTTGCACCGTTCTCCAGAAAGCATCTTGTGTCTCTGATCACTTCAACCAAAATCACAGTTAAAATCCCCCCTCACAACTCTCCTCCCCCCCAGTTATCAAAATCGATACTTACATTGCGCTGAATTCAAATTTGCCAACGAAATAATCAACAATAACTTCAGCATTATAACAGTGGATAGCATTCACGTGTCCAGACACTCATTTCCTGCCACATCGGAAGAATACTCTCGTCTCTTCATCCACAACGACTTAAAGATTACTTCAACTCCTCGTAATACACTGTTACAACAGGCACAAACCCTTGAACTTAGTGAATATCCTTCACATGGTAATCATCGAACACTTTCGACCGAAGAAGAAAAGGGAAAAGAACCGGTTTAACACAATGTCCTTTCTTCAAAAAGACGATTTCCGGTGCGAATATAATACGAAGTGGTTCACACAAAACATAACAATCGATAAACTCTGGCGATAGAATTGTAACTTCACTGGAGATTGCACGAGGGGTACCTTCACAGCACGAATGAACTTATGAATTCATAATTAATTGGGGATCATCGCATGGAATTTTTAAAGAGTGAATTATTCGAAGCGTCTGGATGCCCGGCAATGTCCAGTCTGAGACTGTCCCGTGTGCAGCTGTGAAAGGGTCTCCACCGTACAACAAACATAAGCATGGTTCAGGAAATGACCGGTAAAAAGAGGGGATAGATTCTCCCCCATTTTCCACCGTGAACAGGTGCCACAGTGCACACCACTGTGGAAAAAAAAACCCATGGCCCACCGTATGGTAATTACCACGCGCTCCACTGCTCCACAATGAGAAAATTCAATGACTAAATAGGGAGATTTTACCCAACAAACGGCGAGAAATGAGAGAGAGAAACAAGTCTTTTATTCTTTTATTATTACTTTAATTGTTTCGTTATATTTTTCATACTCCCTACTTTCTCGATAAAGTACACATTTAATATAAAAGAAAGTATGAGAATTCTTATGCATGCGAGTCTTTCATCTTTCCTCCTAAATGGTGTCTATTACAATATGTATTCATTTTTTTTTGTTCGTTTAGTTTTAATTATGACAAATGTGTATAAAATGCATGTAGAACACATTTCCCTCATTTTTTCCATTTGCTCGTCACCTTGCGTTAGACATATAAAGAGTTGTAGTAGGTTTTATTTATTTATCATTGATTTTATATTGCTGCGAGTTATTATATATACATAGGTTTATATATACATGTACGTGTATATTTATGAGTCATGCAACTGTCTTTTTTTCGTAATTCAATGACAAAAATTCCCCCCTCCATCGCTCTCTCCACGTGTGCACCAATCATTTTTATTTCCACCCATTATTGGTTTTTCCTTCTCATGGATTGGGGTGGGGGGCGAACGATGGGGCAGTGTGGAGGAGACCTTTGCGATGGAAGGGTGAAATCGCAAATAATAGTTCTTTTAGTCCATTAGTGAGAAATACTTGAATAAAAATTATGCAATTTGTATATTTTCGAAGAGCTGCATATCAAATTTTAGTTCGAGTTATAAAGATGATTTCCCTACGTTATGTCATCATTAACGTAAAATAATGAATTATTTTTTTTGTTAAAATGTACCTCTAGATGGATTATTATTAGTACCTATTACTTAGGAACTGTTGACGTGAAGTTTTCGGAAGATGATTTTTCTCTTTTCATTGTTGTATCACTAGATCTACCCACATAATAGTTCGTGTAAATAAAATAATGAATAAAAATTATGATAGAAAATGAACCACAGTGTTATATTCCTTTCATCGTCTTCAGCTCCTTTAATGCTCACTTGTGTAAATTAGTTATGCCGTTTTGTTTCTTTTATGATTATTAATTTCACTTTCCTTAGCTTATCGATGCAACGTGAAGAAGACTCTTCATGGGCATGATTCTGTTTTTTTTTTTCGTTTTTATACTTTAAATTACAGGGAGTCTTTTATATGTAGTACCACTGAGCGTTTGTTTTTTTTTAAACTTTATTCTTGAAAAATTGATTAACCCTGAAAACACATTCCAACGTAATTAAATTAACTAAAGGAATTTGTCATTTTTTTAAATGCAAAAGAATAAAAGGAACGAAATAAACCATTTTCAGAGGTAATTCAACATTCCACTAGGTTCTCTTCTAGGTTTTTTTAAAATAAAACAGATCTGTGACGAGTTTACCCTTAACTACTGGAGAATAAATTCATCATTCACTTGTAATGAAGTGAAAAATTTATGATCATTAGAGTTTAATTGATTTTTATACTGTGCAAGAAGCTCGTTGGATGTAGTTAAGGGTTAAATCACAGAATTCATGGGGTATATGCAGTTATCTCCGAGCCAAAGGTGCCACGTGTACCTCGTATTGGACACTGCATATCTCCCACTATGTAATCGTCACTTGGCTCCAAATATCATTGACTGTCGCATGCATTTTAGAATTATACTGATAAGGAAAATGCTATTTAGGCTGGGGGCAAACCCACTCCCAGTGAAATAAAGTCGAATAAATTTGAGCTGACAATGTAACAAAATTAAAAAATATATGAATTCAATCATAGAGATTAGAAGGCAGAAAATGGGAGGATAAAAAATTGATTTTTACTTTTCTTCTAAACGTGACTTACGGATTGATATACGTTAGACCGTCCGATATTATTCGAATTCATGTTCGATCTTTGCATAGTCCGGTCTTCGTATCGGGTGCTACCCTGGCTTGCCATGGGCCTATTCAATGTGCTGAAATCATAACTGAAAAAGAATTTTTTTTACGATTTTTTAATTTTATTTTGCAAATTCTTTTCGATTATTCGATTTTTCGATTATTATTCCATTATTTTTGCCATTTTGTTTTGAAAGAATATCACATAAAAATATTTATAGAAAAAATCCATAGAATTTCATCTTTTCTTCCAACTTTTTCTATAGGAATTTCACGACATTAATTTCTTAAGTTTTTTCGACTCTATTTTTCTCCTCTTTTCATGAAAAAATTCAAACAAAAAACTTGGAGAATTCCAGCTGAGGAGTTTCTATAGAAAACATCACAATAGAATCTACCAAAAGATAATATACAATTCAGTTGGAATCCAATAGAATTTTCTTATTTTCTTATGAAATTCTTTTATACGTGATTGAGAACTGTACGAAAAAAATGTGCAAAAAACCAGAAGAATTTTCCTCAGATCTTCAAGAGAACTGTACTACATTCCAACAATCACGATAAAGTAACTATTTTTCTTACCTGTTTGCATTATTTGGTGAATTGAGGCCGGAACTGTTGCGAGCAGCAACCGTTTTCGTAACAAAATCAGCCTCCTTCCATCCGTGCTTCTTATACACCTCACGTAACTCTGCATGCTGCCACATTGTGAATAATACTTGTCCTAAAAAAAGAAATATCACAAACTGGAAGAAAAATGTTTCCCCCAATCCTTCAGATTCATCCCCTTAAATTTCAGAATTTCCCTCAAACACGTCTTCAAGAAATGAAGCTCAACCCACCGGCAAATTTGAGAACACGGGCCGTATACTTCTGCCTCTGTTTCGTAATATTCATGAGCCTCTCGACCCCGCCCGCATCCAGCAGAGATCTCGAGAATTCAGCATTCTTCTTGATAACTTCATTTAAAGTTGCAAGAACAGCAGCAATGGTGTCGTCACTAGTGCCCTGATCATGTTGATTATTACCAGATGGCAATTTCTGGATTAAATCTCTCATAGCGTACTTTCCGATGAGCTCCTTATTCCGCTGATCGATAGCGAGATTTCTCAGTGCAGTTGCCACTGCACATACCACGCGATCAACCTCCATACGCAGTAGTTCTACTAATATTGGTAGACCCTTTTCCTTACGCACAGCTGCACGTATCTCAATGCTCGGTTGCCAGTAGCACGCAGCGAGATTCTGCAATGCACCAGCAGCCGCTTCCAGGGTCTCGGGGTTCGAGCAAGTTTGAAGGAGACTCAAGTAACACTGTACAACTTCGGGCTGCCATAATAGCTCCATTCCCTTGACGGGCTCGGTTCTTGTTGTTGTTACCGTCTTCGATGTTGTCACTTCCTTCTGCGCTGGCTGGCCGTCTTTCCTTCTCTTACTACCACCGAAACAGCCTAAATTCTCTCCTGAAAATATTTTTTTTAATTTGATGAAGGATGTCTTGAGGAGACAGCTGCAATTTACTCGCTTTTCTAGCCTCTCCTTTGGAATTTATTTTTTGTAGAAGTCACATTTTTTGAATTTTTTTATGGCACGCGTGTTTAAATCTCGTTGATTAGAAATTATCGAGGTAATTAAAGGCTGTTTGACGGGAAGTAATCGATAGAAGCGATATTAGCTGTCTGTAGGGGACGGATAATATGAATTGGTAAATATGCTGATGAGAATAGATGACACAGAAATTGTCAAATTTGTCAATTAACTTGCGTGAGATAATTTAGACAAGTTGATCAACAATAAATTCTTTTGACATGCTTATAAATCAATGATCGAGTCTGTTCAGACTGTCGAAACCCTATTTTTGCTTTTTTTGTCGATTTTTTCAATTTTCAGTCGTTCTTAGGATGTGAAATTGATTGGCTACAAATTATTTATGAAGTCTTCCCTCCAAAATCCCTCATACCTTCTCATGCGTTCATTTGAAAGGTAGTAGCATCCAAAAATTGCACCGAAAATTACACATTGAATCTTTTTGAAAAAGTACTCTTCCCAATTTTTTATACGCTACAAATAAAGAAAATATTGAAACCTCCAAAGTTTCAATAATAAAATCATTACAAAATGGGCTTTGATATTCAGCCACAAATATTGAAAAGGATTTTACAAGGAAAAGTATTTTAAAATCCGTAAATAACAATGTAAAAAATGTAAAAAAAATGAGTCATTGAATGAGTCATTGAATTCATGCATCTTCCCCGAAAAAACAAATTACCCTCAATAAATTACCTTTCACAGGCGCAGCAATACGATTCTGCACAATCGTCTGTATCGGATGTTTATCGTAATTCGGATCCTCAACCTCCTGACAACGATAGCTCAAATTCCTCAGAATACAGACACAATTCTCCACAATCTTATTCCCAATATTAGATTTCTCAATAGCCGATCTAACAACATACAGAAGTGCATCAACAAGTCCCTCGCACTCCCTCAATTTTTTTCTCGCATACTCCCCAGCACTGGAAACATTCCTAAGTACACCAGAGGCATTCCTGAATACAGTTGACCAGCATGTCTCACCATTGGAAGCACTTGGATCCCAACCACTGTGTGGTATTATGATATTATTAACAACAAGTGTAACGCCATCATCAATAATAGCTTTTTTCAAATCCTCACAGGATGATAAATTCCAGAGAACTCCAGTTACCAATTCCTTGACATCAGCGTCTGATGTACGTCGTAGTAGGCTAATTAGTGCTGGTACACCACCGGCATTTTTAATTGCTCGTTTGTTCTCGTCATTCTGACGTCCGTAAGACAAATTTCTCAATGCACCGCAGGCATTTCTGTACACATCGGGGCTCTCATTCTCCAGTAGTTGTACGAGAGGTGGAATACCCCCCAGTGATCTTGTTTTCTGCTTGTTAGGATCGTCCATGTAGCAGAGATGCTGAAGATAAGCAGCTGCATTGGCCTTTATGATGTTATTTGGATTGCTCAAGAAACCAATGACTTCAGAGAGATTTGGATCTCGCCAGCGCATGGATTTTGGATCATCACCGAGGGGGCTTGCCATTCCTGGCACTGAGTGTCGTGTCTGGAGTCGTTGGAGGTGCAAATCGTCCTCGAACATTCCTGGGGCGAGACTAACGGGCAGCTGCACTTGGTGGGATTCGTCGTAGGATGGGCCCTCGCTGGATATTGCCACTGGGGGGACACCTATGGTGGGACCGTAGGCCACTGGACCGTAGGGCGATGGCGAGACGTAACCGTAGGCCACTTTACTTTCATCGTATTGGTCACCTGGCCCTCCTGGGCTTGGGGTTATTCTGTAGTGGTCCTGGAGGGCTGGATTCAGCACAGACTCCATGTCGTTGTAACCACCTTCGACGTATTGGGGACCTTTGCGGAGGTATTCTGTGAATAATTGGGATTTTTTTTTGGTTTTTTAATATCACGAATTGATTGGGGTCTGCTTTTTTTTCAATTCAATTGGGCGAGGGATGCTTGAAACATTCAGAGTCAATTGACCTCATTGGAATTATATTTAGCATAAAAAGTTCTTTTGGAGTGTTCCCTTGTAATTTTGGGTGGAAAATTGATGCGTTTATCAATTATTTGTGGAAACTGTTCCCTCGAAAATTCCTCATTTTCTGCAGTGAATTCACTTGTGTTTTCAATTGCTTGATGAATTATTTTAAAATAACAAACTTTCGATTTTTTAATGTTTCAAATGCAGAATCAAATTTAGACATTCAGAGTTTCAATAGTAAAATTACTGCAAAATTAAACTCTAGGAATTTAATTTGTGGCATGAAATTAATTTGTCTACAACTTTGAAAAAAAATTATCCCAACCGTCTTCGACAAATTAGGAACTTTTGCGGAGGTTCTGTACATAATGTGGATGTTTTTTTCTCCCCTAATTTTGGGAAATAATGAATGCAGATGTTGAATGCAGCCGAATTACGCAAATAAATGTCGAGCAATTGCACGAAAAAAATGGTTCTCCGACATGAATAACTCATTGATAAAACCTGTGGTACATAATTACCATGTGGTGGTGTCGTACGACTGTGATCCGAGGGACTATGTGGACTGTGTGGTGAGTGTGAGTCCGGTGCATAAGCAGCATGAGGGGCTGGATACTCAGCCTGTGTTGCATATCCAACATAAGGATCATAGTGATCGAAATTAACCATGTAGGGATCGGCTGCATAGCAGGGATCCCCATGGGGATACTCTTGAGACATTAGCGGCACTGGGATGTAATTAACTGCCCCAGCCTCGGGCTCTATGTGGGAAACCTCACGGATTACTTTGGTTACTGATGTTATCTGTAAATAAATCGTTGCATTATTGACTCAGCTGTATCGATCCAATTTCCATTGAGTTGTGCTAATGGCCCTTGGTTTTATTAGATAAGGGTATTACATCGTAATAATCATTAACGTACTTGCTGGGATGTCTGTTGATTGTGCCCTCGTAGCAATGGATCATCCTGAACGGACAATTGGGACGAGTGGACAGAGTGAGTTTCCGCTTGTCCATTGCTGCTGTGGTAATCCGTTTCAGTTGGACCACTTTCAAAGGAAAAACAAATTGTTTAACGATCATTAGCGGGCGATTGTGAGCTCCATTACAGTATCACTAATCAATGAAGCTTGGAGTTGTTGCATTAGATCTTATTTGTGCATTGTGCCCATTTATCTGTGTACAATTATAACGGTGATTACTACTATTCATGCGGGAGTTTGTAGATCACTACGTTTTGTTTACGTTTGCACGTGCTGTTAGGAAACGTTTAGTAGGTACTAATGGGGGTTAATCACCTCTTCTTAATTTCGATTCGTGTTACATTGTGCTCTTGACGCTGCTCAACCCTCCGATTCACCAGCCTAGTTGGATAGAGGGGTGTTAGGTTTTTTGGGTTACAAGGGGGATTAAACATTTGAGAAAAATTAGTAGGGTATGACGAGATTATTTTTGTGAGTTGGGAGAATTAGTTTTTGGAATTTGTAATTTGTCTACTAAAACAATTAGAGATAGGTGAAAGATGAAAGGAATAATTAGTGCATTTTTTAATTGCTATATAATGGAATTGGTCTGGGAAATTTTTTATTACACTATTGTTTTAATGAAATTTCAAGTTTTGTCTGTTATAGTTAAAAATTGTATGAAAAAATTAATGGAAGCTGTAAATTTAAGTTCAATTATTCTGTGAAAATCTGGAAAATTCAGATTAATTTGGTGCTGAATATTCATGTGTTGATGGACAATGCGAGTAACTTGGGGAATTCTAATTCTCAGATTCTCAAAAATGTGAAATTTCATTTTTTTCCCCTAAAATGAATTCCCCTGAAAATTATTAGTCAAATGGGTTAGTAAATTGAAATTGTTATTAACAGTTAAAGAGAACACCAAGAATTTCGTGACAACTTGGTGTTCAAAACACCTTTAAAATGACTTTTTCATTGATTGTTAATGTATTTTTGGTGTTAATTACTGTTACTTACAGACACGAATCAACGAGCTGATTGTTGGACATGCCTGAAGTCTTTTTACACAGTGTATCACAGTCCAGCTGAAATAATTGACGATAAATTGATAAAATACCATTCTAGTAACATTCAAACTAATGACATTCAACATCCAAGGCCTTATCAAACCTTTACGAGTTGCCTCTCGGGTCGACAGTTGAGACTGAATTCTATTATTGAATTATTGACAGCCGTTGTAAGAAATTGAGCACATCTGAAATACAAATTTAGTTTGTTTGACGTGATCATTTAACTCTCAATTATTGATTCGAGTTGAGAATAATCAATGAATAAGACAGAGAGAGAGAGAGCATTGAAATGCTCACAATTCCGAAGTGGGGAAAGGCGCGTGAATGATTGTCCTAGCTTTTAAATGTCGAAAGAGATTTTTTTTTTCATTCTCATGAGGAAATATTTGATTTCTATAATTTTACATGTGTATTACCAGCGCATGCGCGACTACTGTGCATCAACGGGTTGCCTACATACACTCTATATGCGACAAGAGAGTACGAGAGACAATTACCCGAATGAGTTGAGTACAATAAGTACATATGTACTGGAATTTAATTGAGTTTTCGAGAATAACTGGAATAATCTACATCGCGACGATCGAAAGATACCACTCCACTGTCGAATTATGTGGCACTTCCTGATGGAGTAAAGGCAGAAATACCATAATTTTCCTCCCATGATCTACCCCATTACAGACACTGGTCAGTGAATTGTTGTGTCAGAGTCATTACTCCCGACACCAATTACTTATCCATGGATTTATGGATTTTTCGTTATCTCTACGGGGAAATCGCTGGTGTTGGGGGCACATGAGGGCGTTTTGTTTGAGTTTAATGGCACAGGGAAATATTACCTGAGACGTCTTTTGGCAATTTGTTGTATTGAGATCCTCCACAGAGTGTATTCTCCAAATAATTAAACATTTCAAACACACACTTTACATTTTACTCGTTAATACTCGATTTATTCACGCGAGATTCATTATTATGAGCTATGATTCACTGTTTCATCTTGGGTAGGGAGAAGATTATTTTACAAACACTTGTGAAATATGCACTGCCGGTTAGACTACATATGTCCCACGAATCACTCACGTCTGCTGGGGTTTAATAACAGTTTATGGGGTGTTGATGGTACAGCGGTGGCACTTGGTGGCGAGACGACGGGCCTTTTTCAGCCGTGATTTGTCTTCAACTTCGTCAAATGACAATTCAATGTAACCACACTTGGTCTAGTCGCCAACGCCTACACAATACACAGTGCATGCATTCTCATACACACTGATACATACTTGTGGCAGCCTCCAATAAACAGTTATGTAGTTTACAATGGGCGATATGGAGTCTGGGATATAGTGCGGTCGTGACAATCGAGAGAGACTCTTGAGAGTGGGGAGTACTGCGCACGGGTGAACTGCCGCAGACGAAAAGCCCTCGAAATGGCGACGGGGGTTTGAACGCACTCGAAGGTACGACGCATTTTAAGGAAATGAATCTCCTTGCTCTAAGGTTTTCTACCTCTTTTAACCATTTTTTGGTGGAAATTAGAAAACTTGAGGATTCATTCGTGGGGATAGGGTTTAATTATGTGGAATGGATAGTTCATTCATTTTAAATGAACACTCAATTGTTAACAAGTGCTTTCTCTTCAGCGGTACAAAAATTTGATTCTTAATTAATGAAATTAAATGAAACTTTTTATTGTAAAGTTTTCTATTCGGTTTAATTTTTTTTTTGTGGAAATTAGAAAAATTGGGGATTTATTCTCGGGGATATGATTTAATTATGTGGAATGGATAATTCATTCATTTTAAATGAACACTCAATTGTTAACAAGTGCTTTCTCTTCAGCGGTGCAAAAATTTGATTCTTAATTAATGAAATTAAATGAAACTTTTTATTGTAAAGTTTTCTATTCGGTTTAATATTTTCTTTTTGTGAAAATTAGGAAAATTGAGAATTCATTCGCGGGGATATGGTTTAATTATGTGGAATGGATAATTTTTTTTTAAAATGAACACGGATGATGCAAAATCTTGATTTTTAATTAATGAAATTAAACTTTTTATTCTAAAGTTTTCTATTATTTTTAAGAATTTTTTATGGGAATTAATACAATTATGTATTTATTCCCATGGAAATGTTTTACTTAGGTGAAAAGGCTAATTAAAAATTTGATTTCCAATCAATGGTTAAATTAACGAAATGGTGACAGGGGTTCGAATGCAACTGGAGACACGACGCATTTGAATTGAAAAAACTTTTGTTTCATGTTTGTCTCCTCGTTTTAACAATTTTTGCGTTGGAAATTGATGAAATTATATATTTATTCCCATGGAAATGTTTTAATTCTGTGAAATCTTAGCTCTTAACAAATTTTTTCTCTTCCGCGAATCAAAGAGTTAGTTTCATCTTTTTATTTCATGTTTTTCTATGGATTTCCACGATATTTTTATTGGAAACTAATAAATTCGTGTATTAAGTTCAATAAATAACCTATTCACTCCAAATAAATCGTGAATTGAAATCAAACGAACGAAAAATTTCCGTCAATATTCATTCGCCGTCTAAACAATCAATTAATTTCTATTTTTAACAATGATTTCCTTTACAATTTTAATGTCTGTCCAGAAAACATTTGTGTATTTCAAAAACAATTTATTTGATGTGAACAAGAACGCAAATAAAAATCAGGTTTAAAATCATAAAAAATCAAGTGATGTCTAAAATGGAAAGGCGTATTATAGAGAATAGTACCAATTATCGAAATAATCTTTGACGTAATTTTTGTCGTCATGTTCAAAAGGAATTGATTATGCAAATGACGACACGACTGACACACCAAGGGTTTTTCCCTCATCGCCACAGGTCACTGATTTACATTTGATCCGGTGCTTCTCAGAAAAACTGATGAAAGTGAAGAGAAAGTGGGGCCCGGCTAATAACAACCAGGGACATGCGGCACTGTGCAGTAACATTTCATCTATTTGACGCGCCCGGTTGTGCCAGTTCCGCATCTTTCGCTGATTCTAAACGTTCCGAAATAAGTGGAGACGGTAATTTCGCTGGGAGAAATTTGTTAAAATCATCTCCGCACTCGCTATTTGCACAGTCAATCACTCGTTCTGCATGCGTGATAAATCACTCGATATGAATGATCGATTGTCATAGGCGGATGATTCACTTATTTCCATAGAATCGAAATTTCACGTCTTGTGGGTAACAATGAGGTCAATATTATTAGTGACACTTTACTTGGTACTTCCGGCTATTCATTGCGATGGTAATCGTAACAATGGAGTTCGTGTCGGTGTATTCAGCCAACGATTTGAGGATTGGGTTGTGTCAATGGATGAGAGGGGCAATAGCCGGGAATCTCGTGATATGAAGTTTGGGAATAGATCTATAGTGGTGCATAAAATTGTCACGCCGAATAAGCGTGAAGTATCTGAAACGGATTTATATTTATTGGGTGAGTCTCTGTGGTCAGTTGATCTGTTAAACATTCTTTTATTCATCTTTTAGGAATTCGTACAAGAATAGAAGTAGAAAATAGATCTTGGAAAAATTTCAGAAACCTTGTGATTTTTATTCGAAATATTAGAATTCTTATTGGCCTCGGACAATTTTTTCAACTGTCGTTAACAAAATTGATCGATTTTTAGCGCTATGTACAATTTATTGTGCTCAGATTATTCCTAAAGTAATGCAATTTATTTTTTTTATTCAATGAGTTTCATTTTGTTTAATGAAAAAATAAAAAAGTAAATAAAAAATCACCGAAAATACCTGAATTGAGTCTTAATTGACCACTCCCCCGTACCCAGAGGAACGATTTATTTGAATCAAATGAATGGGTCTACTCAAATCGCTCGTAACAAAGCTTTATTTCCCATGTGAATAAAAAGTTAAAATACGACACATACGTTTCCTTTATTCGAACAGAGGATTTATTTAGAAAGAATAAATATTTAATTTTATACAATAAAAATATTGTTGAAATGAGTAGAAAAAGTTGGAATAAATGAGTTTTGTTTGACAAGAAAATTAATGAACCCCTCCAGGTGCGATTGAAAAATTACTATACAAAGTCGAGGGTCTTGAGAAACGATTACGAAGGGCTGAAGAATTACTGTACTACGTGATCTCTGGGAACAGCACTCGAGAAGGTAAGCTGTTAATGAAAAATAGACAATAGTTTGTAGACCACAATCATTATTAAGGGGTTTCCGTGAAAAAAGACATTAATCCAAAATTTTCATAGGACATTTATCATCGCCGTTACATTATGAATGATTTAAAAAATACTCCACTCGGTTTTCAAGTTGTTAACGATAATTAAAAACAAATCTCTGATCCCTAATGGCTTGAAAACCTAATCCAGAACTATTCCAAAAAAAATTATACAAAATTCAACTGTCATGAGAAAAATTACTATTTAAGTCATGTAATCGTGGAGCGGAATCCATTGCTAGGTCTTTATATCGGGGCGAAAAATGCGAAAAAATAGTGAATTTTCTCCGCTCACTTGAGAAAATTTACTAAGCGTGAGAATAATTTGTACCGAAACTATAAAATTTACCACTCATCTTATCAAAAACCATCCTATGAGTGTGAATGATTGGGCAATATTGAGCAATCATTCACATATGTGAAGGAATTTTTCTGTGACGCAGAATGATAATTTTTACCAAACGCAGTACGGTAAAATTCGGGGCGGACTTTATTCCGTCCCCATGTCCTTCACATCGGACTCGGAAGGAAAACCCTACGGTGTGGGAAATTTTACTGTACAGAGAGCAGTAATTTTTGCACCCATCGATGTTTTTTTTATCGAACGAATTAGTAAGATGTCCTCCAATTGAACTACAATTTCGCTCCACGATTGCCTATCGTATATTAAAATTTGTCACCATTTTCTAGTGTTTTTTATTCAACTTTTTTCTCCGTGAATGAGAATTTCCAATTAACGTCATCATTCAACTTCTTCGAGCGAATTATTTTCACCCGATATTTTCATCGTTTAGAGCCATGCCCAACGAATTACACGAGAATCGGTAAGGGCTGTTACTACATCAGCTCTCGCGAGTACGACTGGAAGTCGTCAGCGAGTCTCTGCCGATCGCTGGGTGGAAATTTGCTGGAATTGGAGACCCCAGAGGAGTACAAAACAGTGAAAAATCACCTGCAGACTACGAAGGGAGTCAGGGGCTTCGATTTTTGGACGGGGGGATTGAATCCTGGCTTGCTGTGGATTTGGGCAAGCAGTGCGAAAGCTGTTTTCGAGAATCAAGTCGAGACCGTCGACGGCTATGGCCGGTAGATCCCCTAAACACCCCCGAAACCCATTCGCAATTGGCAATTTTCACTCATTAGAGATGTTTTTTCAGATGTCTCAAGATCCGCAATTCTATACCAAAGAATTATTCCCTCTACGGGGAGGAATGCATCAAGAAACTCCGGTACATCTGCAAACCCGCGAAGGATGACTCGACTAATGAAGTCGAGAAGATCGAACGGGGACTGGAGATGAAGAGAAAATCTCTCCACTGAGTGAGACTATAACACTCTTCAAGACATCGCAACTGAAATCGATTATTTATTTGATAGATTATTATTAATTAACGACTGCAGTAATAAATCTCATTAACATTCATTGTTCCACTGTTGAATGATTCAAGTGATAACGCTTCCTTCACTTTTGTCCTTCCTAATTGTTCTTGCATTACTCCGAGAAGCAAAGACTATTGATGATGACAACTGGCAGACATGCAGCTATCTGTCGAGGATATGTCGTTACGACGTCTCTACGACGCTTGTTGGAGAACGTTATAGGCAGAATATGACATTTTTAGTAACTGTAATCATGTGAAGCTATCAGTTGGAAATAAATGCATTTAAGAAAAATTTGAATGGGAAATCAAACCCATTCGCTAGGAAATTCTATTGGTTTCGTTTGAAAATTATGCATTGGGATTTTTCAATTGATATTTGATGGAAAAATTGAATTGATGTTGATTGTTTAATTTATTTTCTTGCATTTTGTGATTGGAAACAAATAGCAATAGGGAAAAATATTTAGAGAATTTTGCTGAGCAATTTTCATAGGGAAAATCGCGAACGAATAAATTATATAGAATGAAAATTAACATTAATAGACGGTTTTCTATGGAAAAATAGTAAAAAATTGAAACTTTGAAGAGACATTTGATAGCAAAATTCAATGTTCGTCATTAAAGAAAAGGAGTAATAGAAAATTTTTGCTCGGCAATTCTCATAATCGAAAATCATAATCGTAACCAAATAAATTACATAAAAATTAAGTTAATAATATCATCAGATAATTCCTAACGATTCACATGAGTCCTTACACTGGTAAATGATGCAAGCGATAGCACAACCACATGTCCACTGGTGAATATGAGAGGTTTCATCGACCTCGTCATGATAATCAGAAGACTCTTCTGCACAGGAATCTTAAGCGAAACCCAGTCCAAATCGTAAATATCGCTTCCAATTCTACTGCTCTAGAGATCAGTTCACGTCTATTCAATCACTTGATCCTAGAATAAATAATTCTTATCGAGTTTACTCACCTCTACTGTTACATTGTGCCCGTAAAAACAGAAGAGATATATTTCAAGCATCATTGACATTAAATATAGAATGACTTCCACGAAATAAGGAGAGAATGGAGCTGCTTTCGATAGATCGTAGACGCTCACACAAATCACCAGCGAACTTATTCCGAATTGCGTGAAAATAGTGGAGGTGAATATGCTGTTCGATAACTCTGCAAATCTAAAGAATCAATTTCAGTAGCGAAGCGGTAAAACAGTTCAAGTAGATTTTGGCTATTGGTCAGTTTTCAAGGAATATCTCGGGATCTATGGCGGATAGCAAAATATTTGATATAAGCTTTTTTGTAGAGCAGGTCAAGTTCTATAAAAAAGTATATTATAAAAATTCACCTATCTCCCTTAGATTCGGAGATATTCTTCGGAAACTCGGCTGAGCGCTAAGTCGACTTAAGGATATCCAAGTATCTGTTACAGTTTTCAATCGTCATATTTGTCAATTGAATTGCGTGAGAAAGATTTGACAATAAATCGTTATTCAAATTACATTTTGCACAGAATTATTATTTTATGCATTCGTTGTTTATATATACATGCTGCGCACGCGCGTTCTCGTCTCCTCACGTATTGGCGCTTCGGTTTCAGTCTTACGCTTACGCTTATTCGAGATTTTCGAGATATATCGAGATCGATTTCCTTTCTCCTTTTTACGATAGGATAGGACTGCGTGAGAAAGATTTGACAATAAATCGTTATTCAATTTACATTTTGCACAGAATTATTATTTTATGCATTTGCTGTTTATAAATACGAGATCGGCCGAGCGTGCTGCGCACGCGCCTTCTCGTCTCCTCACGTATTGGCGCTTCGGTTTCAGTCTTACGCTTACGCTTATTGAAGATTTTCGAGATATATCGAGATCGATTTCCTTTCTTCTTTTTACGATAGGATAAATTGAAATTGGCAAAAGTGCTTGCATGTCCTTAAATCGTTTTACCGGTTTGTTATGGATTTAATGAAACGATCAACTCCTAACTATTATTCTCGGGTTGTTATTACTTGAGTATTTTTAGATGATGCTCTACGCAGTTTGAGACCAGTTTTTTATCCACACTGTCATCATACTCCAAGTCTTGCAAGCCAGAATGTTTATTATTTTCACAATCATGTTCACATAAATCTTTCAAACGGCTCTTGAAAATCTGCAATTGAGCGCATGTTTGGACCATGCATCCTGGCACAATAGTGTCATAACAAATGTTGACGTATGAGGTGACATATGTTGCGACAGTTTGTTGCATGTAGGTGAGCCAGAATGTCAGGTCTGAATTAATCTCGTAAGGAATCCAGGACTTGAATGGCAGAATTCGATTGGGAATACATTCCATGGCTGTTTGGAGAATCACAGTGTTCACTGAGGTCTGGATAAATGTGCCGTAAATGATTGAGTTCGTCCTGAAATCACATTGAACATTTTAATTTTTATCGAAGAATCAAAATGATTAATTCAGTGACGAAAAAAAAAACAAAAAAAATTGATAAAACACAGAGAATTAAAAATGCATGCATTAGATTATAGCTCTTGCTTTAATTGGCAATCAATTCTTAATTTCTCATGATTTTTCCTTCCGAATGGAAGCCTTGTTTCCATTAAAGTGAAGTATTTCATCCTTTTATTCAATTAAAAGAATAATACAATTAATTCACCAGCAAATATCACACAAAAAAAAGAAAAACTAAATTCATCCTGAAATCATATTAAACATTTCAATTTTTATTAAAAAATGAAAACAATTAATTCAGTGGCGATGGCGATAAAAAACCATTAAGTCACAGAAAATTGAAAATGCATGCATTGGATCATAGCTCTTCCTTTAATTGACAATCAATTCTTAATTTCTCATGATTTTCCGAATTAAAAGAAGTATTTCATCCTCCTACTCAATAAAAAAAATTACCGCAACCGAATTCACAAATCTCTTTGAACCACTTCACACCCGAATTAATTCCCCCCAAGATTGTTTATTTCGGTTCGTTCGAAACAAACCTGATGCTTCTGTCGTATTTTTCTTGAATAGCAGCTTCCGCTGCAGAGCGAGGGCTGCACGGAGGGGTGGCAATGATGTCTATCGCCCTCAGAATATCCACTCTCCTCGTAATAAAGCTTAAGGACTTAGCGCAAGCGTTCATCATAGTCAGTAGCACTCGAGAGTTGTTAATAAAATCATCTACAGTACCTGGTGACCGGATCATTTCAATTAACTGAGACACTGTCACCGAGTACAATACAAAACACATGAGACACGAGTAAAAATTGTAGATGATTATTTTTAACGGAGATGACCAGTGAGGCGGCCTCCAAAACCCCATGATCTGGAGGACGAAGAAGTTGAGTGAGAGAATTGACGTTTTCATGACTCGACTGTTGACTAAATGTTGGTGATTCGGGGGTGGAAATGCCACTGCGAATAAAGCTATCTGCCCTGTGCCGAGGAAGACTTGGACGTATTTATTATTCATCGGTGGTAAAACACGAAAAGTCATTTTTGTTCACATTCAGTATTGATAATGTCGCATGTGCATTTCGCTATTATTTTTTTCCGTAGAAAATAAAACCTCTTGCATTAATATATGCACAACCGTTGTCTCGAGTCTCTGTATTTTAGAATAAAGGAAGAATGGAGAGGAACGAAAGCCGAGGGAAAAGTCACGCATCCTCTCAGAATGCCGAGTCTTGCGTGAGTCAACTTGGGGACAATAATGGAAATTTCATTCGCCGTATGAACATGAATATGTAATGAGTGGAGGGACAAATATTATTTCTGTATCGATAGTTCGGGATATTTTTATTCTTCGGAGATGTCCGTTCACCCCGAGAACAGAGAAGAATCACGAAAAAATTGAATAGAAAAACCTACCGAATGCGTTAGAAAATTCTATTGAATTTCTATTAAACTGTTCTATTAGTTTTCGGCCGATTCTATTGAAATATTCAATAGAAAATATTCAGTGAAGTTTTTTCGTTTGATTTTCTTGATGAGAAGAAAAGAAACACAGAATGAAAAAACTTAGAAAATGTGAGCCGAGCAAATTCTAGAGAAAATATATGAAAAGAATAAGTTATATAGAAAAATCGAATTCTGCTGACTTTTTCTATTAAATGTTTTCTACTGAACATATCAATAGAATCAGCCAAAAACTAATAGAAAGTTTAATAGAAATTCAACAGAATTTTTTAACGAATTCGATAGGTTTTTCTATTAAATTTTTTCGTGCGTGTTCAGGAGGTTTGGAGGAGCGGAGGGAGTGAATAAATAGATGCATTTATTGAATTTACTACTGAATGTTTTGTTATTTCGTTATTATTTCTACAATAAACCACGTGATAAAATTTTTTATTTTAGGGAAAGTGTTGTTTCGTGGCATGTAAGCCTCACATATTCATCTTAACGGCTGATCTTTGAGCATCAGATCGCGAATATCCTTGATCGATGTCTTAAGTTTTGGTAAGAACTCGGACATTTTAATTTCCGCCGTATATTTCGACTGCAACAGAAAGGGAAAAAGTAATAAAATTAGTTCGCTAATTCCCCGAATAATCATTGAATCATTTTGGAGCGAGTTCACTTACAGGAAATACACTGTTGATCGGTTCGCAATTGAATACTAAAAGATTATTCGTTCTTCAGAGGAACTACCGCCGAGTCACTCCGGTATATTTTCAAACTGGCGAAGATGGATTAATTAAACTTGTCAAATCTCAAACACTAGAGTATTTATTCAGTATATAATGATTAATAAAGTCGTCATTAACATTTTTAATTGCACATGCTACTACTTGTCGTCGTATTGTCGAAGCGCAGGCCCTCGTTGCTGCCGTTAGCAACTGTCGGATATAATGCTTTTCTCAGGTTTTTCTACTACGTTCAAATTGCTTCCTACGACATTTGCTCGAGAACGTTGTATGTAGTATATGACGTTTTGAGGAGCTGGAATATGCATCAAATTAGGGTTGAGAAAATGAATTGAAGGGGATGTCGGTGGGATTTGAAAGCCTTAGGTAGAGCTACTCAAGAATTTTTAAATTATTAAAGTAATCATCAACTAAATATTCAAATTCCGAATTATTTGATCAATGAATAAGAGAGTTCGGAAGATTGACGATTATTTGGCTAATCGAAAATCGTTTTTATGAAATTTCCAATTATTTACTCAATAGTCAATTGCAAATTTAAATTATCAATTATTTTATTGTTTTTCAAATTTCAACGGAGATAAGTAAACCTTAATTATTGTAAGGTGCAATCTCTAATAATATTATTAATCTAATGATTGATGCCGATTCCTGATACGAATTTCATCATTTTATCCAACAAAGCAAGTCAACAATAATAATAATAATAATAATAATAATAATAATAATAATAATAATAATAATAATAATAATAATAGCAATAATAATAATAATAATAATAATGATAGCGTAAAAATTCCATGCATCAACCCAATTATTGTTTTATTGGATTAATCATCATTGCACTTACACCGGTGAACGATGCGAGCGACAGAACATAAACATGTCCGCTGATGAATCTAAGTGGCTTCATCGTCCTCGTCATGATAATCAGGAGTTCCTTTTGAACCGAAGTCTTAAGTGATGGCCAATCCAGATCGTAAATATGGCCTGCGATTCTACCACTCTAAAGATCAATCAATTCTATTTATAAACTATCCTCGGGTATCTCGAATGATTCATCTTCGTTCAATTAACTTACCTCCACAGTAACATCATTCCCATAAAGACAAAAAATATACAGTTCAAGCAACATCGACATTAAATACAAAACCACTTCCACAAAATCACCGGTAAATGGGGTGGATTTTGACAGATCATAGACACTCACACATATGACTAGTGAACTTATTGAGAACTGAGTGAACAGCGTGAAGGTGAATATGTTGTTCGTTGACTCTACAAATCTAAAAAGATTATAAAATGATAGATCCTAGGTGATAATCATTCACGCAGGAAATAACTCCATAGGAAAAGTTGACGTGTTTGCTGGGAAATTAGAACGGAAATTCTATCATTCTATTTTCGACAATTATTTCATTTTTCATAATGAATGATTTTTCATTGACAATTCCGCAGACTTTCGCGCGTTTTTTTTAGTGGAAAATAATTGATTTAAGAAATCAAAATTCAGGGACAAATTGAAAATTCATGTCTTTTTGTTTATGAATATTCATGTTCCACTGAAAATTCGATCGAGTTGTGAAATTTTCATCTCACTCCCACTGAAAAGTCATGAACTTCCGTCAATTCAATTTAAAACATGAAATTTTATGACCATTTTGTTCCTAATTTCGATTCCATGTCACTTTCGTGAGATTTATTATAATCTCTTTCACGAAATTCCAAAAACTTTCTGACAGTGTAGTCTATAAAAATTTCTCGAAATGAATTCTTAAAGTGTTTTTACGCAATTTTTTTTGTTATTAACATTAAATCAAGCAAACAAAATCAGGAAATTTATAATGTTTACAATATTTCCTACTGCTAATTTAGATTCAAATTCAAGAGAATTTCCTAGCGAATGCGTTAGGTTCTCCCACAAAATTATTTCGTACGCGCTAAATTGTGAGTCTGTTTTTCCATTACTGAAGGATTTTCAAATGATGTTGCACGCAGTTTGAAATGAGTTTTTTATCCCCATCATGATTATTCAGGTGTTCCTCATGATTTTTATCATCATCGGGGCGAAAGTCTTGCAATCGACTCTTGAAAATTTGAAGCTGCGCGCATGTTAGCACCATGCATCCTGGTACTATCGTGTCATAACAAATGCTGACGTATGCGGAGATGTACGCAGCTAGATTTTGTTGGATGTAGGTAAGCCAGAATGACAAGTCGGAATCAATGTTGTAAGGAATCCAGGACTTGAATGGTAGCATACGATTGGGAGCACATTCCCTGGCTGCTTCGAGAACCCGAGAGCATACCGCAGTATGGATGAATCCCCCATAAATTATGGAATTTCTCCTGCAATCATGTTAAATTTTTTTTCGATTTTTTTACACACTTAGCGCATTCCCTAGAAAATTTCATTTCCGAATACTTCGCATTTTTTTTATGCGCTTTTTTGGGACAGAAATGATTAATAAATAATATTTTATGCAATAAATCAATAGATTTCAATGTTTTCCCCAGATTTTTATTTTTTTTCTGATTTTTAAAGATTTTTTTTACATTCTAATCTTTTTTCTAATTGAAAAAAAAATCATTTTCGCATAAGATTGTATTGTTTTGCGCTTCTAGATGAGTGATTATCAATAATACCAGACTGCCAATTGAGCACGCACTCAACAAAAAAATTAAGTTTAAAATTTAAGTTATGTTTATGCTACACGGATGTTAATTTTACTGTACAAAAGTTAATCACGAAATGTAATTCACTGAAAAAATTTACTTGTCTTCATTAAATGTTGAAGAATAATATAATAATTGGTAATTTAAATTTTCAATTGAATATGAGCTAAATAATTGACAACACGGAATTGTCAGTTGATTATTGAATAAATATTTATAAATTTGATAAAATAATTCGGCATTTGAATATTCAATTGAGGATTAATTGAATAATTAAAAAAAGGATGAGTAATATTAACACTTGACTTATTCAAAATTTAACTTTAATTAAAATTTATGATTACGCCGGTGTTTATTTTTACTCCGTGCACTTTTCCGTTTATTGATTTCACGCCTAATTGCATATCGAATTAATTTTATCCTTGTATTCCTGCGAAACGAACCTGATGCTTTTGTCGTATTTTCCTTGAATAACATCTTCAGCAACATCGCGCGGACAACACGGAGACGAGGCAATAAGGTCAATCGCCTTCAAAATGTCACCCCTTCTCTTAAAAAAGTTTATGGATTTAGCGCAAGCGTTCATCATAGTCAAAAGCACTCGGGAGTTCTTAATAAAATTATCTACACTACCTGGGGACTTAATAATTTCGATCAACTGATAAAGTGTCACCGAGAATAGAGTAAAGCACATGAAACACGAGTAAAAATTATAAATAATTATTTTAGAGGGAGAGGACCAGTGAGGTGGCCTCCAAAAACCCATCATTTGGAGAACAAAAAAATTGAGGGGAAAAATTTTTATTTTCATGATTCGAGGGATGATTGAATGTTGGGCGATGGGGGGTGGAAATTCAACTACGAATAAAAAACTTGAGGAAGACTTCAACGTATTTATTATTCATCGGTGACAAAACCCGAGAGAATCATCATTTCCGGCATTCAATATTGATAATATCGCGTGTGCTTTTTGCTATTATTCTGTTCCCTGAAAATACCCCTTGCATCGATATATCCATGACTTTCGTCTCTAGCCGGTTTTATTTTCTAGACGAATAAGTCGAGGAAAATTACGAACGGAGGCGATTTTCGAAATGTTTTGTTATTCTCAAGGCTGAGGATAATTTTCTGCATTTGTGGATGACCAAATAAAAGGGGAGAGATAAAGCCCGGGAAAAAAGTCACGCGATTCCAGGAGAATATCGCGGCTCGGGATGAGTCAACTCGCAAAATCGAGAAGGAGAAAAAATACATTTTCTCGCAGTATAAACATGAATGAATAATGAGTCGATGGGAAAATGCTAGCTGTATTATCCCGGGTAGCTTTGTACTCCGGATACTTCCATTTAGTTTCAGAAGAGCGGACGAGCGAGGAAGTTCGATGGGAGCTTTCGGTGCATAACAAAAGGAATAGAACCGATCTTTACTATTGATGATGAGAGAGGTTTCCAGTGTTCAAATGTTCATCGCCAAAGTGTTTTACAAACATTTTTTTTCGCAGATGAGTAATCACTAATGTGAAAAAGAATAATATAAAAAAACCGAGCGATTTTTAAAAAGATATTTCATCGCATAAACACAAATAGATTTTTCTACATGAGTTCTTTTGAATTTGTTTCACTAAAAATTATATTTTCTTGCAGTATGAATATAAATAAATAATGCGTTGATGGAACAATATTATTTGTATTATTTTGAGACCCTTTGTGTGCGCTTCGAATATTTCCCTTTAGTTTTCCGAAAAGCGGAGGAGTGAGAAAGTTCAATGCGAGCTTCCAGTGCATAACAATCTTTACTACCAGAGAGATGTTTCCAGTGTTTAAATATTCATTGCCAAAGTGTATTATCAAAATTTATTCGCAGGTGGGTAATCCCCAATATGGAAAATATTCTAGAGAATTTCTATTGGAAATTTGCTTCGTTTTTCGCGCCGCTTTCTGTTGGGAATTATCCAGCTTTTCTCAGCGATTTTTAAAAGGATATTTCGTCGAATAAAAACAATAGATTTTCCTACATAAATTCTTGTAATTTTTTAAAATTAAAAATTCTGTTCCCCTGCAATATGAACATAAGTAAATAATGAGTCCCTGATGAATATTATTTCTTGAACACTAATGTATAATTAACGATTATTTTTTTTCTTCAGTCATCTATCTATTGCGTGGTTGTATTGCTTTATTGTTTCCACTTCAAATCATTTTTTCCCCTTAATTTGTATAATTTATTAGGTACAGAACCCATCATTCATTTATTTTTGCGCTCTCGTCTGTCTATTCGTCTGCTCTCACCCTATCCAGTTGTAGATGGCACCTCGAGCCGCACATGTTGCGCACCTAGTCGGGCTATGGCCAGGCCCTGGGCGTTCCGACCGCAGAATCAGTGCAGGGAATCAGCTGTTCTCGACAATCCAATCATTATACGGACGAATGCTGCGTAATTATAAGCGAAATGAACCGAGATAATTCACGGAATGGGAAACGATCACGCCCTGAAGACATTGAGGACGACGATAATTCGAACGGTAAATCTTTTTGTAAGGACCATTCATTTTCGCACTTTCATGACTTTGTTCCCATTCCCTCGAAACGTTTTGATTTGATCAATGTTCCACGTCTCAAAACATTCAATAGAAAACTTTAGCGAATTCGCTATAAAATTATATTGGAATTCTCTACAAATTTTATTGGTTTTTTCCGGAGATTCAATTAGATATTTGATAGGAAAAAGTCGATAGGTTTCGATTTGTCTGTTTGAATTTTTCTCTTGAGATATTTTCTATTAAAACTATTGGGCACGGATTTTCTCAGTTTTTTCCGCTGGATTTTGTTTTGTTTTGCATTGCAGGATCCGAGTGAAAAAAAAATTAGTAAGTTTATGCCCAAGTATTCTTATAGAAAAATCGAAATCTATTGATTTTCCTATCAAATATCTCATAGAATCAGCGCAAAAAACAAATAGAATTTTAACGAGAATTCCCTAGGATTTTAATAGAATCTCAATAGAATTTTCTAGTGAATTCGGTAAGTTTTTCTATTAAATTTTTTCATACCTGGTTATATGAGATGTGTAGTTATTTCTGAATTAAATTATTATTAATTAATTAAATTATTAAATTATTATTATAAGTTAAAATCAAGAAGGAGAACGAGGATGACGCTGAGGACCCGTGCATTTCCGGGATTTTCGATGCCATCGAGTTCAAGGATCAGCTCGAGGAAGAGTTGCCCTTCGAGCAATTGGCGGCGACTGGATCCAGCGGTATTTCTCTCAAATACTTCTGGCTAACGTTCCATGAGAATTTTCTCTTCACGATTTAGTCTCTTTTTTCAGATATGAAACTACTCGTGAGACTTATCGGCACAATTGCTACGGAAATGCAGAGACTGACCGAGGAAGTTCGCGACATAAAGAACATTCTTGAGGTCCGATTGACTTCTCCCAGTGCCATCACACCGGGGCAGAATTTTACGAACAAATACATGATTGATTTACCTTTGAAGACTCTTGAGGAGTTCGATGCCTTCGATGAGAAACTCAAGACTGATGACGAATTTCTGAATGATTTCGTAAGAATATTCATTTATTGCTGTGTCCAGAGTGGACTTTATCTGTATTCATTATTGGCATTCTATTGGAATTCTATTTAATATTTTATTCATTTTGTCGCGTTAATTTTAATCAAATTTTAATAATAATTTTAATAGAAATTAGAATTTAAGATCAATAGAAGAATAATTATCTACAGAATTGCTTGGAAGAGTTTAGTTTTAAAAGCACTTATAAAAATTAAATATTTTATAGAATTATTTATATTTATTTTATATAGAATTTTTTGGACGAATCACTAGGTTTTTCTATATAATTCTTTGATACATGCTAGTATTGATCATTCTAATCCATTTTCAGGGACAATCTCTAGTCGTGCTTTTCGATCGTGATGAGAGACTGACGAGAACTGTAACAATTATTCTACGTCGTTACCTCAGTCGAGAGTTGGCTATGAAATTCACAGCTACCAAGCAGTCAGCAACGAAATTAGTGTTTAAGGAGACTAAGTTTTGCTCTTGCATGTTTGGTGAGTATTCATTCGATTTTTCAGGGTAATATATATTGTAATCCTTTCCACTACAAAAAAACTCAGTTTGTTTTCTACAATTTTCAACCAATTCATTTTAAAAATTCAGCGATGGTTTTTTCACATTCAATGGCTTTCTTAAGACTCTAAAATAAGACTTAATTCTGTTTTACCTCTTCGTTTATACAAATAATTTCTCTCGTTAATAGAAATCTATTTTCTCCAGACATTCTTTCACAGTTGTATAATAAAGACCACAGGAGGCTTCCCATGAACGAGAAGAGGTTTTATTCAACCCTGAGCAGTATCTTCCCAAATGCCAAGGACTGGGATGGCTGCAGATCCCTCCGCAGGAGACCAACTGTTCCAGGTGCCAGAGAGGATGGAGACGAATCCGAAAACGAGGCCGATTGAACATATTTTTTTACTATTTTTATATCTACCTCTCTACAAAACTAATTCTAATAATTATTGACCACCTAATTAACGATCGAGAGTGAAAGTTGAAATATCACTTGATTATAATTTTAGAATTCATTTCCATGTGGGGTGACACGCACGAAATTTTTTTATAAGATTTCTACTGAACTTATATAGTAAATTATGTTAGTTTTTGCCCGATTCCACAGCTTTACGGTGCGTTTTTTTAATAGAATATTTCCACTCTATTTTCCTTCTATTTTCATTTGAAAAATTACGGAAAAAATAATTACAAAATTTGAAGATTTTTTTTTTCTATAGAAATTCCTCGAAATGAATTTCCTAGATTTTTCCACTTTATTTTTCTTCCATTTTCATTCGAAAAAAAAAATACTTGCAAAATTTCTGTAAAAAATATCTCAATAGAGTAAATTGTTTAGAAAAATTGAATTCTATTGATGTTATCTGTAAAACATTTTCCGTTGAAAATTTCTGAGTTTTTCTATGAAATTTTTTCGGACGTGCCCCCCCCCCAATTCTGTACCTTCTCGTAGCTGCGATATTCTAGAGAAGGTTATGTGCATGTGATGTTTTATATCAATCCACCGAGGGGAAAAATACCTTTGTACATTACAGAAGAGTGTGTTATTAATCGTTTGCAGTATCTCAATTTGTTGTACAATAAAGAAGAATGTAAGTTCAGTGGGAAATTTCAATATTTGTTGGAGGACTCTCCCTACGATAACATTGGACATTTCACACTCAGGTTAGTCCAGAAGATTGAGAAGCTGATGAGTAAAAACGAAACATTTGTTAATTTCATTTTTTTGTCAATCAATCAATTAATCACAATAATAATCAGACAGACATGACAGATTGGTTTATATTCTGGGATAATTAGTAATTCTTCAACAATGACCGAATTTGAATGAAATTATGGTCGTTGGACTTATCTTCAAAGAAGCTACAATTTTTGTAAGGGTGAATAATTGAGTTCCCTATGGCGATTTCAGCACCGATTCACGCAGCATCAAGGCCTTCGCTGATATTGAAAAAATTTTTGTGCCATCGAATTTGCCCCAAAAATGCTGAAACTTTTGTCTGAAGCATTTTTTGATTAGAGCACCACTTACCAAGATATTTGACTGTGACTTTCAGGGATAGCCATATTCATGAATCATAATTACCTTTAAATTTTTAATTATTTTAGTAATCATCAATTCGAATATTCACATTTTGAACTATTTTATTAATCAATAATTTAGGTATTAGGAAGATTGCTGATTATTTGGACAATTGGTAATCCCTTTTAAGAAATTAGAATTATTTGCTTAATTTACTTAAAATTGATAGTCCCATATTATCAAATATTTAATTCATCATCAATCGCCAATTTAAATTATTAATTAATTAGTGTATTCATACTATTTTTATATTTTGATGAGAATATTTAAACCTTTATCAATGCAAGTCGCAAATTCCTTTAATATTGATAAAATTGAATATTGATGGTCATCCCTCGTGACTTTGAATTTACGGTACCCTGTGTATCATCGACTGATAAAACTCATGGCAGTCAAAAAGGATAATTTAATTTGAAATGCGATAAATGAACATTTATTGAATTAAAAAGTCCCCATGTTACTCCAATGATTATCTCCTCCTTATATATCATCCAGACTATTAGTATCAACAACCCCAGAATCATGGAACCACTGGTTGACACGGGAGCGTCTCCTCCTCCGACACCGTCTGAATCATTTATTACCGCGACAACTCCACAGATTATTCCGAAATATTCTGCGACGTTCAAAGAATTATGATCGTCATGAAGCAGCATGCATCAAGCTATCATTAATAACACTGTCGGCGCATTTTCTGCGGCCCGATGTATTCAGGCACATCATCTCGGATGAGCATACAACAGGCTGTGATTTATTCCCTTTCAAAGGTGACTTGAATTATCGTGCATAGTCGAAAATTTTGTCGTCTCGTATGTCATGTTTTATGGCGTCATTTCGTGTTTTCAATCACTCACAAGAAAATTTCGTAGCAAAATCTAGGGAATTCAATAGAAAGTTCTGTTGAATTTCTATTAGTTTTTGCTTTTTTTAAGTTTTTCTATTGAGATATTTTCTATAGAAATTCCTTAACATGAATTTTACAAATTTTTTCGACTCTATTTTTCTTCTCTTTTTTTTTATTAAAAAATCAAACAAAGTTGGAAAATTTGAGCCGAGGAATTTCTATAGAAATTATCTCAACAGAATAAATTGAATAGAAGAATCGACTTCTATTAATTTTTTCTACACAATATTTTCAATTAAACATTCTCATTGAAAAATGCAGAATGTTTTAATAGAATCGGTCAAAAACTAATAGAAATTTCAACAGAAATCCCACAGAATGTTCTAGTGAATTCGCTCGATTTCTGAATATAATTTTTCATACGTGACTGAATAGGAATTCTCATGGAATGATTCCATAGAATAAAATAAATCCATTCATCTCATCATATTATCATTAACTTCAGCAATTACCCCCAATTATTTTGCAGTTATATTTACCGCGGTACCTGATCTAGTCAAAGAAAGAAAATTGCAGCTCGAACGAGGCTATTGCGTCGTCCACTGCTCAATGTGGAAAATAGTCCTGGAGTCATTATTCCACCGTCTGATCCAACTTGAGTACAATATTTACAAGACTGATATGCAAAACACCGTGAGAATGGATTCACGACTTCAGCTGATGAGCCAGAGACTAACAAAGTCAATATTGACGCCGAAAATCGAGTCGAATGCAAACATCACAGCTTTGAATATTGATAACGAGGCGAGAAAATTTCCTCCTTGCATGAGGCACTTGCACTTGGTTCTCAGGAAAAAGCATCGACTGAGTCACTACGCGCGGTTTTATTACAGTCTATTTTTGAAGGACTGCGGCATGAATTTGGATAACTCCATTGCATACTGGAGGGATGAGTACTCTAAGCCACATACTTGTGAGAGTGGCTGCACTCACAAGTGGCAGGAGAGCGAGAAAAAATTTATTTACAGCATTCGACATCTGTATGGACTGGAAGGGGCTAGGGTTAATTACGGTTCACCTAATTGCCAGACGATATTCGTGAGTTCTCGGGCTTTATTTACACTCCTCGAATCATTATAATTCTGCACATTTTTTGTTTACATGCACTTCGAGTGGACTTAATCATTCTGTTTCAATCAGTTGGTCAGGAATGATTTGTAATTTATCTTTTTCAGAATGCTGACCCTGGACCGAGGTACGAAGGCGGTTGCCCTTTCAAGATTCTAGATAATGAGCAGTTGAAGGATGTTTTTAATTCTTGTCTGATTGACGACGATATTCAACGGGAATTGATCAAATTGAAGGGCGAAAATGCAGGCGCTGCCTGTGGATTATTCCTGCAGGCGACTAATGATGATAAGAGTCATGTCGTTGTTCAGAGTCCACTAGAGTATTATATTCACGTTAACAAACATATATGAAAAAATTTTACAGGAAAATCGAGAAAGTTGCAGGAATTTAAAAAGAACTTCGATAGAATTTCTCAAGGGAAATGCTAGATTTTTTCAATAAATGTTTTCATGTATGGAGAAGACTGATTGTTGCCACCCCTCAGAAAAATTATTATAATAGTTTAAATAAATAATTAATTTATCTATTTCTTTGCGAATTTGTCTAGACCCTCTTTTACCACCTCGTGAGTCACTCCATTTTTAACTAGAATTGAAAGCACCCCAGCTTCTGTCAGATCGCGAATGTTTCTGTGCTCGTCGTCGAAGAATATCATGTCCTCGAAGTCGACTCCGGAGGCTTTGCGGATCCTGAAAAATCGAAGAATGAAGAATTTTCTTTCGAAAAATAGAAATAACTGAAGAAGAAATTTATCTCACTCACTTGTTGAAGTGAGACACTTTGCATCCAGGATATATCTCCTTGTACTTGAAGTACTTCTCCCATCCGAATAGATTTAACAGTTGGAAGGCTCCTTTTATCTCCGAAGTTCGAGATGCCACTCCAAGCTCGTATCCCTCATCGTGTAATTTTTTTAGTACATCAGGCACCTGCTCGTAGTAGCGGATATTTTGTCCGTGGGCATCGACTATTGCATTATTCTTCCTGCATCAAAATTCATTGAAATCACGTGCAAAAAAATTTCATGGAAAAATCCAGAGAATTCGCTGGAAAATTCTGTTGGATTTCTATTGAACTTTAGAATTCGGTTGCTCTACACAACTTATTCTATTCAGATATTTATTGTAGAATTTTTTTCCTTTTGATTTTATTCAATGAAAGTGAACGAAAAATAGAGTGGAAAAAACTTACGCCGAAAATTTATGTCGAAGAATTCATATCGAAAATTTCTCAATGAAAAAAATTGTATAGAAAAATGAAATTCTAGTGATTTTTCTATAAAATAGTTTCTATTGCAAATAAGATATAAAGAAAATGCACAGTAAAATTGAAAATTTTCAACAGAAATTCAATACAATTTTCCAACGAATTCGCTAGATTTTTTTATGAAGTTTTTTCGTGCATGATGACCTTGCAGAAAAATTCAACACATAAACAATTAAGTATTATGTTATCTTTACCCTTTTTTGAATGGAGGAGTGACATGAGTGTCCACCCAGAATGGCCACAAAGTGTAATCTGCAAATATAAAAATTAGAAATTATAAATGAATGCCTCCAATTTTTAGAAAAAAATTACAATAGTAGAATTGTGCTGAGTGATTTCATCTATTCTCTAACCTAAATCAAATACTAATAACTTCGGCTTCTTCTCGGACATTTTTCAATTTTTTATTTGACACTTGTGGAAATATTGGGGAACGTAAATAAAAACAATGACGCGTCGACATTCACATTGTCTTGATGGACCAGAATGCACTGAGGCTATTTTCATATGTTCACATCTGACGCATGATGATCGAGGGAAATCGGACTTTTCCGGGGCACAGCGAAAACGGAGGCACGTGGACGGAACATTTCAAATGGCGCGATGACGGATGTCCGCTGCTATACGTATTAGTGTAGAGGCTTCATAAAAAATGAAATATCTTTTGGAGTTAATCTTGTTCGTCAAGCATTGGATAAACTATTAAATATTAAATATATTTTTTCAATATATTTTAATATATAATATATTTTTCAAAAAATATCAAAATATTCTATTTTCCTTTTTTCCCAAAATATTTTTATACCTATTTATTAAATTCTAGTTGATAGTAATATATAAACATTCATCTTTCATCGAAATCACGGTTTTTCATATGAAAGGTAAACATTGAGGTTTAAAGTAGTATAAATATAACTTGAATTTTGAAGATTGGAATCTAGAAAGAATTTCAAGAAACGGAAATAAATAAAAATTTTATGCCTAATATGAAAATTATTGTTAGTGTCAAAATGTTGTGATAAAGAATAATGGTAATTGAAGAAAGAATTAGATGGATCAATTTCTTACATTCATTAAAGTCAGAATTCCCAAGAACAACGATCAGTGATGAATAATTTTTTTTATTTTAGAATTTATTTTCCCTTGTTAAACTCAACGACTCAACTAGTTTCTTCTTACTACTTCAATTGATAAAACTTGGACCTTCCACTCTTTTCAAAATCGGTAAAGGGAATTGCCGATCAGAATGGGGAAAAATGGATCTTCAGTCGTGAGTGATTGGTCATTAACCGATTAATTTTTTTTTTCTCATTCTAAAATTTGTTTTTTCTGAATAATTTTCGATGAAAATGCCCGAGAGACTAATACGCAACATAATTACCAGAATTCAAAAGTAATTTTTGCGACTATTTCTCTCCACACATCACCCTCTACTCATACCATTTTTTCGATTATCATTATTGTCGTGGCAAGGACAAAAGTTGCTGCTCCGCGACTTCGGAAAATAACTCGCGTATCAGATCGAAGCTTCCAGAACATTGCGTTGTAAAACACATTTTTCATTTTTATAGAGTATATAAACTCAGGTATGTCCGGTAAAACTCCATTTTCCGCCGACTGCTTCAAATCGTCGAACCGAAGATGAAGAGAATCATTTTGATTTTGATTTGGTGCTTCTGCGAGTACAATAATTGCATTGGGTATCCGGAAGAAGAAGCCGTCGAGTATCACGGAGGGGCGAAGGGTAGCAGCGGTACATTAATTTTCTTAATCACCACCGCAACCCCCTATTTATTCTTGTTGATCCACTGTTATCTGTTTAAACAACATCAGCTCCCGAGATCACCAAACTGAAAATTGTCAGAGGTACAGTCAAAATTGAAGCTGAAAATGTATGGCGAGTGAAGGTAGAACTCGAGGACGAATCGAGTCTGGAGTTGAAATGCAGACAAACCGATGGAATACTGATAAATGACGATACTCCTGTATGGCTTGCTAAACGTGCGAACAGATTTGATGAAATCATCTACACACGTATGGATTCGGTAAGAATTTTTTACGATTGGCCCCAGGTTTTTCATAGATAATGTTTATAATGTTCCCCAGCTATTGAAAAAAAATCTCACAGCTGTACTACTCAGTTTAGGAAATGAACTTTTCCTTATTCATTAATAATGAAATACGGACTCGATTTTCCCATCGTATGAGAAACCGGTTCTTACGATGTTCTTTAAGAATGAATCCTTGGTAGATTGATAAATTCTGCATACGGTGAATTGTTTGTAAAATTTTATAGTAGTTTCTGCGATATTTAACATAAAAAAATGGAAATTTCGGAAAATTATTTCTTATTTGTTTCAAAAAATTAATTAACAAATAATTTCTTATTTTATTCAAACAGTTATCGTTGTCTGCATCAACACCATATGGAATAGAAAAACTTAATAACTTATGAGAATGCAATAAATTGAGTCAGTTAAATTTTTTTCCGAAAATTCATAGGAACTAACTTTGGGATATACCTTAAGGGGAGATGGAACCCCTTTGTCTAGATCAAATCTTAGAATTGTGTTTTCTCCTACAATTATTAATTTCTATCTACGAAATTACTTTATCGACTCGATTATCGCATTGTTGAGTCAATGAAGTAGTTTAATGAATAAAAAATAATAATTGCAGGAGAAAACACAATTCTAAAGATTCATATAAACGCCGTTTCTTCTTAACCCATTGGACCACGTCACGGTACCCCACTCCTCCTTCCCTTGAACTAGTGTGCGTGCGCCGTCATGCCTCTCTTACGGCGCACCAATACCCAGACGGAGCCCCCACTTCCCTCACATCGATACTTCTCGTAAACTCCGTGCCGCAATGGATTAAAGTAGCGTAAGCATAGCTTTAATTTCGAAGATTAGAATCCGAAATTAATTCTAAACGAAAGTTAATACGAATAGAAATATTCTGGTTGACGTTGTGGCCAATCGTCGGTCTAGTATTATTGATAAAAATTAATGTCACGGTGCAAAAATAACGCATCGATTGGTTTTCCTCTAAAAAACTACATTATCCAATTTTGAAAAAGTATTAGTAATCAGGTAGAGAAATTTGTCATGCCTCAGGTCCTTAGGAACCTGGGGCCATTCAAATTCTGTCAGAACTTCGACAGGAAAGTCGCCGTCACGCTATTTCATGATCAGAAAAGAGCCGTAAGTATTTGCATCTTCTGATTTCTTCATTGATGATCTTGTGCACTTACATCGCATCATCTTAAATTTAGGAAATATTCATTGCAGACGTGCACGGGCTGAACGCCACTCGTGACTTGCCTGATGATAGTCTTTATATTTTAAATTTACTAAGTAGGTAGATAGATGGATGCAATTTATTATTTCACTCAGATTGAAAAGACCCCTTAAGGGAAAACCCAACTAAGAGATAACTTTTACATAAATTTAGGAGCAAAAAAAATCTTGCCACAAAAACTCCTCAGAAGATTGCGGCAAATCAGGCCATTTTTATGATAATAATGGATAGTTTTCTGTATAACTCATTCGTTGAGTTGTGTTTCAAAATCTATTTAGTTAACAAGATCTTTGCAGTCTGACAAACTCGAATGAGTTATTCGAACATCTCATTAACTTTGAGATTGAAAAGAATGGACTTGATCCTGGGAATGTTTTTTCTATGAGTGTTGTAATGATTGACACATTCTTAGAAGAACTGAGATCACAAAAATCCATACACGACATCGAAAAAGACCATTTGCGCAGTGATCCAGTACCAACAACTGTTTACCCTCAGTTGTTAATTCAACTGGAGGCAGGCGATGCACGGTAAATATTGTAGAATTAAGGGTCTCATGAATGTCTTTGAAATAGTATATTGTGCATCAAGGGCGGAAAGTCATGTTTTCCCGCCCGAGGTGCACATGCTATTTTTTAACCCATCTGCAATGGAAAGTTCATATTTTGCTCTTTGATGAGCGGGAGGACAGTGAGTACTTTCCACCCGAGGGCGAAAAGTCAAGATTTTCCGCCCAAGTAACTTTCCACCCTAGGGCGGAAAGTGCTCACTTTCCTCCCGCTCATCAGGGAGGGAAGTATGAACTTTCCGTGCAGAGGTCTGAAAATAGTATATTTCTAACCTAGGGAGGGAAAATAAAGGATCCTCAGCCGCCAGTGAAATAACCAGCCGAGCCGAAGGCGAGGTTGGTAAGCACGCGGCTGAGGGTCCTTTATTTTACCTCCCGTGGTTAGAACGCGATTTTCCGTCTCGGCGTAGGCGTAAAGTCAGAGTTCCCTCCCGCGAAGCGGGAGAGAAATGTACGACGTTGCCCCTACGCCGTGAAGAAAAATAATATTCTCACCACGGGAAGTAAAGTAAAGGAGAATGGTAAGCACGTGGGCATGACTCCTTTATTTTACCTCCCTAGGTGAGAAATATACTATTTCGATACTAGTGCGTAAAGTGAAATTTTACGCACAAGTGCGCAAAATCCCACATTCCACAAGTCGCGATGAAAAATAGGGTTTGATACTCGTAGGAAGTGTTCGTTCACCCTTGGGAGGGTGGCACTACACATGTCCCGCGGGTCGAAAATATTATATTTCGTAACGAGCGCCGAAATGTGTTTTTTGGCTTGTGGGAGGTTTATAGCACGAGCCGAAGGCGAGTGATATAATCCCACGAGCCGAAGGTGAGTGATATAATCCCACGAGCCAAAAAACACTTTTCCCAAGAGTATTGAACGATATTTTTCATCACAATGTGTGGAAAAGGGACGTTTTAGGCACGCGAAGCGTGTCTAAATAGTTACTTTTTTGCACAGCTTGATTAAAAAACTTTTACGCACTCGTATCGAAATATACTATTTCTCTCCTAGTGAAGGCAAAGAGAACTTTTTTTCGATTTTTTAAAATCAAAACACGATTACCAGTACCAATGAATAATGACTTCATTAAAAGAATTGGAGATGAAATAAATGAGAGCAAATTAAAAAGACACGAGATATAAGAATAGCGGAATAGAAAGAGACGATCGTACATGAAAATAGTTGAGAGGGAGGAAAAAGAACAAATAAGAAAAAATATCTAGATCACGACGAGACTACATTTTTACTCTACATCAATGTTGTTAAACATTTTACAGGGAAAACCTGCAGCTAGCTTTAATGCGTATGCTATCATATTGGAATGCCGTAGACATGCTGTACAGTCATTTCAAACAGCCCCGAATAAAGCTCAATATTGCGGGGCTCATAGTACCTGCGGTGAATTTCAATTCTCTATTGATTACTATTGTGGGGGAAAGTTGATAAATAGTTCATCAAGTCAATGATTTCAGGATAGTTTCAGTGCGCCGTGGATCGCAAAAGCCAAACAGTCGGACCATCATGAGCACATAAATGATAAAAGAGCGATCATTGAATTAGGAGAACATTTTCACCGCTACGCCCATATATTCTCCGATGATAAACACGACTTCATGATCAGTTTTATATCGTGAGCAACATTACTGTGAAAAACAAAAAAAACTTGACAAATTTGAATCGAGGAATTTATATAAAAAACATCTCAATTGAACAGGTCGTAGGGGAGAGTCGGGCAAAATGGGACGTTTCGTGATTTTCTCTAGTTGTCAATATCTTACTTATAAATGAAGATATTCACTATTCGAAAAGATCTCAACATGTCCCATTTTGCCCGACCCTCCCCTATCGAATAATGAAATTTTTAAGATTTTTTCTAGAAAAAAAAAATTGTTTTTTAGAATACTTTATATAGAAAATTTTCAGTTGGAGATTAATATTGAAAAACAACACATAAATCAGTTGCCGAATCTTTTAAATAAAATCGGCCAAAAACTAATGGACAGAAAAAAATCCAATCGAATTCTCTAGTGATTTCGCTAGGTTTTTCATTTTGCATCTCTAGGGATAATACATCACCATTTTTATCAAATTCCAGGGAACAGTTTGATGACGATCCTAGCGTTTTGGGTAGATAAAATTTACTTATGAATATAATGATATTCTTCGAAAAAATTGATCATCATTTTCTTGAAATTCCAGGTATATCATGTGTAAATTCTCATTGCAACAGTAGAAAATGTCGGGTTGCTGTAATTAGAAATTACTTGGATTTGTACCTCGCCGGTGCTCACCAGCTCACGCATCTGTAAATATAAACTATTAATTTTCGCAAATTGACACACGATGTTAACTCCTATGTGTAGGCTTTCAGCCCATTCCGATGATTTGCTAACAGACTGCAAAAGCAAAGAGATTATGTCCGATCTTCTGGGCGAGAGTAGTGGAAAGCGCGAGTGGTCTAGCTGCTCTCACGATTTATTGCAGAATTTTTTCAAGTGAATTCGCCTAACATATCGAATACTGCATCCTCACTAATTATGAGCACTCGACGTTATCATTTGCCTATTTCAGGAAGAGGAGAAGCGAATGCCTTGACAACTGCCCTCGAACGAACCCGGATTGCGGAAATAATCCGAAGCCTGTGCAAATAGCGAGCACTCCCAAAATTTCTTGTGTGCGTCATCCTGCAGAAATATGTAAAAAGACTCAGTGGATAATGTTCTCTGGAGTAAGTAGTGTCCTAGAACGAAAAACATGCAGTGAAAATTATGTGACAAAATGTAATTCTGATGCGAAATGCCCTGTCGGGAATTTTTACTTGAAATTCAACTTTAAGTGTATTTCTCTTGCTGTTTATTTATTTTATTTTTGTTTAGTTATTTTTTCTTTAGAAACTATTGAATTGAATTTGAGCCTTTTTAAAGCCCGTAAAGCGAATAAAGTAGTACACGTGAAGATCAACAAATTGCAAGTAAAAACGCAGGGAAAAAATTCATAGAAAAACCTAGCGAATTCAAAAAAAAAAATCTACTGAATTTATATTTGACTTCTATTGAAGAATTCTGCAACTTTACTTTGTGTCTTTTGTAGAATATATCTAATAGAAACTATTTGATAGAAAATATCAGAGGAATTTCATCTGTTTATAAAACTTTCTCTATTGAAACATTTTCTATAGGAATTCTTGTACATGAATTTTTCAAGTTATTTCCACTCTATCTTTCTCCTCTCTCCATTAAAAAAGTCAAACAAAGAAACGTGAAAAATTTCAGCCGAACGATTTCTATAGAAAATAACTTAATAGAATAAGTTGTATTGAACAATCTAATTTCATTGATTTTTTCAAAGGAATGTTTTCAATTGAGCATTTATATTGAAGAAACGCGCAGATAAGCTGCGGAATTTTTAATAGCGTCCGCTAAAAAATAATTTAAAAGAACTAATAAAAGAGCTCAATAGAAATAGAATATAATTTTCTATTGAATTCCTTAGGTTTAAACGTGAAATGCGTTGAAAGATGAGAAACATTTGAAAAGCTACTAGTGAATTTCCGTCGGAAATTTTTCCGAAATTTTCGAAATAAAAATGTTTGACAGCCTCAAATACTGCGCTCTGATTGGCTGAAATCCGAGTGAGAAAAATCATCTATGAAATTTTTTCGTCCGTGTTCACGTGATTTCCATTCTATTTCAAAGTTTCCAAAAATTCCGTCACTGATGCTCATAATTATTTCAGCACATATCATGTGACAGAGGTATCACATGCCATCGCAGCAAGAAATTGGACCATATGTGTGCGAAACCTTCATTATCTCGTAATAAAAGCAAACTTTGTAAAACATCCTCTCCTAAGCATATTGTACCGGCTGAAGACGGGACGTTATGCGGTTTTCCGTCCAATGGCCCAATTTCGGTGAGTTTCCTTCATTCAGGTACTATTGTACGACTTCAGTTGTCTACATCAGGTTATTTACAGGCATGCTATGCCGGTGAGTGCGTTCCAATTTCTTCGGACATTCCTCGATGTCCCGAGGGTAATTAGCTCGTGAGATTTTGTGGGAGGAGTGAATTTATGAAATATCTGCTATTAACGGTACTGTTGTGTAATATGATGAGATCAGAGGAAAGAAAAGGTTTGATTTTCAGGAGAAGATTTGATTGTCACTGATATTTAGGGACATGTTCCTGTTTTTCAGAAATCTATCGACAATTATTAGTGATTATGTCACTAAAAATTGATGACAGAGTCACTGCATTTCAGCATTTCGCACTCGTTGAATTTTACAATCCCAAAAGCCTAATAACTGGGGAAATTTATTGAAATTTCAGTCACAGTGGCGTCTGAAGTCTCGATGTTGTGAGTTTGAATTCAATTTCAAATGAAAACATTCATAAAATTTCTCCTCAGTCTTGAAAACTCAAGAAAATTGGGTTTTTCATGTTAAACAATCATTGATTTTTAAAATTGAACATTACATATAATTCAATTTTCAATAGATTGAGAATTCAGAAACGTTGTTACCTGAATTCTCCAAATTTTCAATATTTTTCAGTGCCGTATGAACCTGCTAATCGAGAATTACTTAAATATTAAAGAAATTAACTGATTCGTTAAGAAATATACAGGAATTTCATATAACTTTGCCTTTAAAAATTTCAAGCTTTTCCATTTGAAATTTCAAGAATAATTTTCTAACCGTGCATGCCCTTGAAAATGAAAACTTTTTTCTCTCTGTGGTATTTAATTTTTTGGAGTGCCTCAATGCAAGTTTTTCTACCGCTTGTGTAGACGGAAAACTAAAAGTATATAGAAAAACATTCTTTAGAAAAATCCCAATGCTGACACTGGAAATTTTGCCGAGCGAATTTTACCGTTCTGACGTAAACTCTTTCCGTATTTATCCAAAATTCTCCTGTGCACTGGAATTTTTCTAAAAATTTGCTCTCCGTTTAGAATCGAGGCAATTAAATGTTCTATTCTACCTGTCATATCTGCAGATGAAAATAAAATATGAATGTCTGCAAAAAAAAGTCTTGCAGTTCCAATTTTCCTGTTCCATCAAATCGTAAACAAATAATTTAAACCCCAGTCTCGTCATCAAATGCGACCCTGCGACTCTAGTCACCTCCGCGGGGATTCCCCGGCTTATTATTTAGGCTCTAGCGTTGCCGAATTCATTCTACACTCCCCGGGCGCGTTTAGCGAGGTTCCGGCAACGTCGCGTGATGGACAATTTCATTTTACATGGGAAAAAATGATTCATCTGTTCGAAATAATTTGTTTTCTTCAGGAATTTTGGGAAATGTTTTCTAAAAAACTACTATAATTTTTTAGACACTTCTCTTGACAAAGTCAAATTCTTTTGAATTTTTCGGTTAGCCAGTAAATTGTAATTTTTAAAAAACGACTCGCGGCGGGGATTCCCTCATATAGTGACCAATCTAGGGTTGCGGAGCAGCAAAATTTTCCCTCAATCACCCGAGAACCCCAATAGCAGTTAAAACAAAACTTTTATTAAAAACAATCGGATAATATGCGACAAATACATTGCACGACAGATCAAAGTAAATGTATATGTGCTTATATATCACTCGTTGAAGAAGAATTTCTCATCAATACACTTCTATTCGTTGTTTCCAATAATAATGGCTTTCCACACTCCCATATAATTTCCATTCTACACTCATATTCATTTATAATCGGCGTAACTCTAAATTTTCATATTTTTTTTTCTCGTCATCTGCATTGATCCCGGCTATTACGCATAGAGTATATACAAATATTTCATAACAATGATACATATGTATTTGATATAACGCAACCATTACACAGCGGTCTATTGTACAATCAAAAATTATTCGTTATGTGTGAATGATATATTCGAGTCTTTGACATTCAGAACAAAGGATAAATTTGTTCATCCTTGTTAAAATTAAATTACAGCCTAGTTATTGCAAACATTTAAAATGATATAGTACACGTATCACGAGTTAGTGGTGATTCGTAGGATTTTGGCATTTATAGGTAATTATTTTCTCCTCTTAGTAACACAGCTACTAGATATGTAAAATCAATTTCCTTGATCATTCTAATTATGTCAAACTTAACTTCATTCACGTTTTTTTTAGATTTGTTCATTTATCTTTTGGTATTCTATTTCGTTAATCACTAAACATCGGTGCAATAATATTCATTCAACAGATTTCATTCGCAATGCATTCTACATTATTACGTTAAAATGCATCAATTATCTCAGATATTTAGTTCCCTCATTTGAAACCGTCCAACTGATTGTTCAATTCGCGATTTTATCGAACGTTTATATTTCGTTATTTCGTCATTCGTTCATTAGTTCAACAAGTAGGTGCATAACCGAGATTTTTTCTCTGGAGGAATAGTGTTATTTCACGGAATGTCGGTCTCGAATTTTCGTCGCGACGCCAACACTCGAGCATCAGATCGTAAATATCTTTACTCGATGTTGTTGGTTTTGGTAAATACTCGAATAATAATTTAATTTCGTGATCATTCTTGGTCAGAGTGCTGCATCGCGTGTTGTCTTGATGATGTTGTTGAAGATTGTCGATGACTTCTTCGTCAGTCAAATGCTCGTAAGGCACGTGACGACCCAAATTGAGGATTTCCCAGAGGGTCACTGCGAATGCCCAGACGTCGCTTTTTGTCGTGTATTTTCGCTGCGGAGGATGGGAAAGGTGATAAAGTCATTCATGGGTAATCGATTGAAATTATCTTTGTAATGAATTATCTTACTAGGAAGACACACTCCCAAGCCATCCATCGAATAGGAAGAAGAGCACCATCACTGACTTTGTAATAATCACTAGCGTAGAGTTCATTGTCCGTTCCAAAATCTGATATTTTTATGTGATAAGCCTTGCCCACCAGACAATTTCTACAAACAAATGAGAACATCAGCTCCACACGTCCGAAAAAAATTCAGGAAAAAACCTGGCTAATTCGATGGAAAATTCTAATGGATTTCTATTGAACTTTGCTATTCCTTTACTTTCATTAACTTTATGTGAGGTAATTAAATAATTAACCATTAGGTTTGATTAACTGTTATTTTTTTTCAATCTTTAAAAAGAACTAATTAACAAATTAAAAAATTCTGAGACACACGGACTCGAACTCGAGTTTTCCGTTATTGAATTTTCTATTAATTTTTGGCTGATTCTGTTGAAAAATTTGACAGCTTATCTACGCGTTTCTTTTTCAAGAGAAATCTTGACTGAAAAAAATTCTATAGAAAAAATTTGCTGAAGTCGATTTTTCTATATAATTCATTCGATCGAGATAATTTCTATGGAAATTTTATCAGCTCTAATTTTCTTCAAGTTTTTTGTTTGATTTGTTGAATGAAAAAAGAAGAAAAATAGAGTAAAAAGACGAAATTCTACGGATCTTGTCTAAAAAATGCTTTTTATTGAACATTTCCTATTAACCTTTCGTTACTCGTGTGAAACTGCCCGACGTGGTTACTCGCATTGCAGCGCCGCGCCGTAATGTAAATTTGAGCGCGTCGTTGCTACAATTCATTCGGAGCATGGACCTGCTGATCTTCCGGCAGTCCCGGAAGCCACAAGTGTGGCAACGCCGTGTGAAATATTTCCCTGACACGATCAGTCGCCGCACGGCCCCGTATTTTTTATTTCCAGTTAAAATAGGAATGAATTTTCTCTAATCAATGGCTTTAGCCATAATTAGAAATGCCAGAATATACTTTTAGATAAAATCAGTGAGGCATACAATTTTTGTCATATTTTTTAATGAATTTTTTTGGAAGTTATACTCAAAAATATAATTTCACGGCGCGGTGCCATGGACGCGAGCAACGAAGGATTAAAACGCACAGTAAACCTCCGGAATTCCGTCAACAGAATTGTCCAAACCCCAATAGAATTTTCAATATAACTTTTAAATCAATTTAATAGAAATGAAACAGAATTTCCTATCGAATTAACAATATTTTTCCTGAAATTTTTTCGTGCGTCCACTCGGGACTACGCCAGTCCCATTCATAAATTACGGATGCACCCACCTCGTAGCCAAATCTCGATGTACAAAATTTAGATTCTCAAGGTATCTCATACCCGATGCAATTTGTGCAGCCATGTAGATGAGACAATTAAAACTCAATGTCTTAACGCCAATGGGCATTGGATGAGCATCCTCAACAGTGATATGGGTTTTCAAAAATTGAGAGAGATCTCCATGCTCAAGATACTCCATTACAACGCAATAAGGCTCCTCACGACAACAAACACCAAGTACCCTCGCTATATTAACATCCTCGAGTGCAGCGAGTATTCGAACATCTCGCTGAAAGTCCAATCTACAGAGGATAAACGAATGAATAATTGATAATTCAGAAGTGAATGAAAATACACTTGACTCACTTTTCTTTTTCACTCGCTTCAGGGAGTAAAAATTTAACTGCTACGAGCCTCTTTCCCAGGGTAGTAATGCTCGTACCATAATCTGGAATTCCCTCAGCCTCAGCCACGTATATCTGAAATTTTGCAATTCAATTAACATAGTACGTGCACTCAGTGGAGAAAAAAAATATTGATTTTAATAATAGAATATCCAATTTCAAACTGCACCGTTCCAAATGCACCCTCAGCCAGTTTGGACAGCATACGGAGTCGATGCCGAGAGAACAGGGGCACCGTTGACTGCTCCAGTCGTCTCTTAAGAGCCGTGAGAACCTCCTGTTGGGTCGGTGACTGAAACACCGAGCCAATAAACAAAATAGGGTAAAAACAAGTGGAAAAAGTCAATGAATAAAAATTACCTTTTTATCGTCTAGCCGACTATTCCGGGAGGAGCCTTTTGAAAATATACTCTCCTGGTCGCTGCCACTACTGGAAATTGAACTCGAGACTATTTCGTGGGTGGTGTAGACACCTGACTCGCAGTTTAAAAGTGGAATTTTTGTACTGTTCATCTCTGGCACTGAAAACGGGTTTTCAGAGTTATTGGGTTTTTTTGCTTTGGGAGTCTCGGTAATCGAATTGGGGTGCGCAAATTTTGGGCTTTTGTGACAAATGTCGAATTGTACGTGAAGGAGATCAAGACAATTTTTGGTTGATTTTTCACTGAAATTCCGGGGAATCTCTTCATTGGAAAATACATATTTCAGCGATTTGATGGAAAAAATCGAAGGAGACTGGCAATTTTAGCAACATTATTCACCGAAAATGAAGACAAATTGTCAATCCTGGTGAATGCAGCCCTGAATTTTGAATTAGTTGAAGATTTAGCTCGTTTTTGAACTAAATATTCATGTTTGATTGAACATTCAAGTTTGTTATTAAATTTCTCTTCATTATATTCAAATCTATATGCAATGGTAAACATTTTTGGCTGAAATTTCGGGCACATTTTCTGGAAATTTTCATCACATTTTAGCTCCACTGGAATTTCCAGGAATTTCGGCATTAAAATACAATTATTCTAAATTATATTCTTGAATTTTCATTAAATTGAAAATTCATCGTGATTCGACCCCGAATATTTTTACTTATTTCACTGAAAATTCAAATCAGTTGAATAGTTTTCATTTTTCATTGAAATCTGAAATTTCATGATTGTTTCCCTTCACATCTCATTAAATGTCGTTTTTTTTCCCGAATTAAATAGATTTTTTCCATTTTTTGAAACCCATTCAATTAAAGAGGCTGTCAAAATGAAAAAAACTCACCTGCAGTATAATTAACAGCATTCGACGCCATATTATTAAGCATCATATCCTTCATCTCCATAATAATAGTACTGTAACTATAATACGGCGCATACTTAAGTGCCTGATACGGCTCCTGATAATCATCTAATTTAACAATATCCACATGTCGATTGTCAAGCTCATGAGCCAGTGTCGGAACATTCCCAGTTGGATACCTACCCGAAAACAACGAAAAATCCCACATTTAACTAAACCAAACAGAGAGGGGGGGAAAAAAATAATAAACGTTGCCATGAAGTGGTCCAAGCTGTGTAAACATCCCTCACCTCTCATCGTCTTCAAGTGTATATGGTATAAGTGCAGCGCCCTTTTCCACTGTAGCGCACGTTGAGCCAAGGTGGGATGGCACTTTAACAGCCATTGGACTGGCAAAACATTTGCGCTGACGATGACGAGTTACTATGAAAAATATTGCAACTGCCAGTAAGAGAATTACCGCTGTTAGTACACCAATTACAACAGCCATGTATGTGGGATCATCCTGCTTTGCGGTAAACACCGGAGCTTCATTCTGAGCCCCTCCGGGCTTACCGTTGGGCATTACGTCGCTCGAGAGAGATCCCTCAGTCGTCAGGAACTCCTCCGCGGTGAAATTTCCATGGGCAATGTCTTGAAAAAAACAATTCATTCAGAACAAAGGGTGAACTTGTTTCTTCTTGTTTAAGGCCCGGGTGGATTAGCTCTCGAACGTTATCTCGACTGTTTTTCCATCTTCGTAATGTAAAATATAGCGCAATTTTCATTGGATTTTACATCACGCAGGAGTCCCTAAAAATTATGATTGTACGATGAAAAGGTAGAAAAAAATCTGAACATTTTCGAAGAGCGTTTTTAATAAAGATTAAGAAATAAGTCCGATAGAGAGGAAATAGTGAATAGATCATTTATCGTGGTAAATGACGACCTAACACCCATTAGATACATCAAATTATTAATTTGCAATTTCCTCCCTATTGGATTTATCTCCCAATATTATTCAAAAATGCTCTTTGAAAATGTTCAGTTTTTTCAACGTTTTTTGATTGTACGATCACAATTTTTGGAGACTCCAGGGCTATGTAAAACTGAATAGCAATTGGAGATCATTTCGGATTATTAACATAAAAAAAACAACCAACATCATGTTTGAAAGATAATCCACCCGGGCCTTAAATTAAATTACAGCCTAGATTTGGTGATTCGGCCGAGTGGCGCATCACTAGATGATTATTTTTTTATTTGAAGAATGAAGCTATTAAAAATGTCAAATCAATTTCTTTGATCGTCCCAGTTATGTTATACTTCTTTCACGATTATTTATTCATTTTCCTTTTGTTATTCTATTCCCAGTAAACATCTGACCGTTGATAATACGTAGAATAGACGTGACGATGGTAGAAAAGACGTATATGGTCGAAATTTAGACGTTTATGATAGGTATTTTATGTCACACCGTACGATAAGTCAAATTTAAAGCACGCTGCGCTTCAACGAATGTAACAGACCTCGCCTTCCGCTCGGCCTGCAAACTTCACATTCGTGGAAAATGAAATTCATGCCCTTGTGGTCTAATATACTATTATACTAGGTGTCTAAAAATCGTCTTCTTCACATGAATTCAAGTAATATGAAAATGGTATAGGCATCGACGCCAATTACTCCGGAGAAGACGTACATAATTCGTGGGTTCAATTCGTTAATCACTAAAGACTTATGCAATACAGACATCAATGATATAAAAATCATATGATTATTTATTTATGATATTTGTTCGGGTGTGTATTCGGTCTATAGATTTCATTCACAATGCATTCTGAATTATTGCGTAAAAATGCATCCATTTTATCAAATATTAGTTCCCTCAATCGTAAAAAATATCATATATCAATATAATATCTAATATCAAAATTAAATATCAAATTACAATAACTTCCCTGCCAGGGAAGTTAATATTTAGTTCCCTCAACCGTAAAAAAAATTTAAATGACTTGATTTATTGCATTCTCATAAGTTATTGAGTTTTTCTATCCTCATATGTTATTGATGAAGGCAACAATAACTGTTTGAATCTAATAAGAAATAATTTCATGAAATTTCCACTTTTTAGAGTTGAATATCGCAGAAACTATGTACTATAAAATTTTACAAGAATGGATTATTAAATTTTTGTCAATAGCTGGGGAATATTGAAGATAATATCTATGAAAAACATGGGTACAACGGTAAGAAAACCCTGTTTTCTACTGATATACCTTAACCAGTAGGTGCACAACCGAGGTTTTTTTCCTATACCAAAAGTGTTATTACACGAAATGTCGAGCTTGCATTTTCGTCCCGACGGCAACATAAAATCTCAATCGAGCATAAAGCCGTAAAAATCGTAAATAAAAGCGTGAATGTCTTTACTCCATATCCTCGGTTTTAGTAAGTACTCAGAGAATATTTCAATTTCGTGATTATCATCGGTCAGAGTGTTAGATCGCAAAGCGTCTTGACGATGTTCACGGAGTGAAAAATTCAGTAAAAACTACCTGACAAAAAACGCAAAAATTACGTTTCGAAACGTAATCCGCGAGCGAAGTAAAATTTAGTAAAGAGTGTGGGTCGGAACTGAAATTGTACGAAGCGCCACGTAAATTCTACGATTTGTTCCGTAGAAATTAACCACCCGTCTTATGACTCACTGCTGTGGAGACAACAAGTCGTTCCGTAATTTTCCCCCAACGATTGGGAAATTTTACGGAACGGAACGTAGAAATAACTCACCAGCTTCATAAAAATTGTTGAATGTTTAAGAATTTTTTATGTTTGAGGCATCATAAGTCGGGTAGTTTCTGTAAGATTTTACTTCTTCGGGAAAAATTACGTGACAATTTCGTACTGTATTTGGTGATGAATCTGAGAATTCACTGAACGGTTGAGATTTCCTCTCTTCCATTCCTATAAAAATGGCCGGAAAACGATTTTCCATTGCGGATTACGTGAATTGTTCCGTAATTTTTACTGAATATTTCTCTTCGTGTCGTTGAAGATCGTCAATGATTTGATCGTCAGTCAAGTGCTCGTAAGGCACGTGACGACCCAAATTCAGGATCCTCCACAGGGTCAGGGCGTGTATTTTCATTTCATTAGAAAATTCAGTAGTTCATTTGAGAGAGAAAAATCGTTGGGTGATAGCGGAATGGAGAGATGAGTATCTCGAGAATGAACAGAAAACGGAGATTCACTAGGTCATTCGAATTCTAGGGAAATCATCGATCGATGGAGATATAAATAAACCGTTTTTTTTCTCGACGGCCTCTTGAAACATTGAAAATGTTAATTCACCCTTTAGGAAATTTGTGTTCGCCCGGTTCTCGAGAGAATCACGGACCTTAAAAATATTGTGAGCCCTGCTGGAATTGAGGATTTTACGGGCTTTCTTGTTACTCCATATATCATTTATGATTCACTCCCCTCTCCCTCGGGAATAATTCAATTTTTCTAAGGGCATAAAAACGCGTGCGTTATTCGCCGTAATTTTCTAGTCGTTATCATGAGCGTCACTGTGTAATTACGTACGCGATAGTATCTTTTCTCACCTGAGTCAAATATTATTTCACTCAGCATGATCCATTTTGATGAAAAGTAGAGCTGTAATTTCACGAATTTTCCAACTCGATGATGTAGCTTTATCGTTATATTCCGTGATGTCTCGAATATTTTATCCTCCATGTAGTTGTAGATTATGGGCTCACCCATGAAGAATGTCCCTCCAATACTGAAAGACACTTCGACCTGCGAGAATACCTGAAATAGTCATACCATAAAAACCCGACAAATTCCAATCCTCTTTAAATATTTCACGTGGAGAAAAAATTGAGGAAAAATTATTCAAGACTCAAGTATATTGTTAGAAAATCACTCTCGAAACTTCAAGCAAAAAAACACTTGAAATTTTTAACGACATTGTTGGAACGAAATTGAAATATCATGAACTGTTGACTAGTAATTTTTAGGAAAAAGACATTGAATTCGATTTATGAAAAAAAATCCTGAAATCTCAGTTGAAGTTTGAATCAATTGAAAATTTGGGAACTTTTTACCAGAATTTTTCTGATTCAATTTTTTTATACATTTCAATTATTATTGTTGTTAAAACACATGTTAACTCAGTTTTATGCGAAAATTTCTATCAAACTCTGAATTACCTGGACATCCCTGCTGAACTGATTATTACAATACAAATGAACAGCCGCAAATTCTCGAATTTTATCGAATTCAAATTTGATCTCAATGGGTTGATTACTTCTAGTGTCATTTCTCCAGGCAACCCAGCCCCTGCTCCTAGCCGAGTCATAATACCCCATTTTGAAATTATCAGGGCCAATTTTTCCATCAACTAATTGTCCCAACCCGTGTCTCAACTCTCCGTCCCAGTAACCATCGTAAGTGGCGTCGAAAAACTCCCATTCGTTTCCCCTCTTGTCCCCTTGAGGCATCGAGTAAGCAACAATTCCATCTGCATTAGGTAGCAAACAAAGTGGAACGATCAATTAATCACAATGGGATCATGGAGGAAAAATATCATTGTGTACCAGTATTTAAATTATGGGATATTAATGACAGAAAGGGGAGGCCTTACCGTGCCAATAGCACCCATAAATCTCCACCCGCATGCATACGGTACGTCTATGATTACTGTACGGCAGGAAGCGTATCTTGCTCGCCCACAACGGTGGATCCAAGTCGTGTTTTGTCTCCGAGTATGTGTTTGTGTTGCCCTTCATGATCTGATAAATTGAAATTCATATTGTCACTTCATTTTTTTTTCATCTGATGATTTTTCTCCTCATTTTTTTATGTGATAAATTAAAATTCATATTGACATTTCAACTTTTTTTTCGTCTGATGATTTTTTGTAAATTTTTTTATGGTAATGGAAATTCATATTGTCATTTCATATTTTCGTTTGTGTTCAATTCGATATTTGACGATTGAAAGCGAGATTTTCAATTTCTGCATAATTTATACGTCGAAATCTCAAACGGGAGTTTTTTTAGGGTAAAAAGGAGTTGCAAGTTAATTTTTTTTAATTGAAGGGTAATTTTTTAAATAAAAAAATTAATACAGTGGGGGCTGAGTCGTTGACTTGTTTCTCTTTCTCGCTATAAAACTAAAACTTATGGTATTTATCATTCTGCAGTGAGAAAATTGTGTAGAAAAAGGGGTTTATTGCTTATGGGAAATAAATGCGTCGATCCATTTATTCGTCGATTAAATATTGCTCGGGATTTCTTATCGTTTATAGTTTGAGGATTTGTTTTTCTTCTTTTTAGGGGTGAATTAAATGATACTGTAACAATTGTAATTGCTGTTTCATCATTGAATATTATGTTTAACGCACGTCGTAGAAAGTTCTCAGCTCTTTCAGTGGTTTTACATCCGTTATCATCCACGGTTTTTTTTTCATCTACCCTTAAACGTGAGAAAGCAAAAGCGGGCTCCAATTTTGTAAAATTTACATAGAACGACATTACGATCGCGTCGACCATATTTTTCTCTTGGCTCTCAGCAAAGAGCGATTACGAACTGACGACTAAAAGCAGCATTATTGAATTGTGCATGATTTACATGTCCAACTATCGAAACGAAAATACTTTTTTACAGTAACAAGCAGTCACTGGAAATGAAGAATGACAGAAATTTGGTGCTTCTTTCGCTTGAGCTTAAATTACAAATGATTAGTTTATTTTTTACTTCAGCGCTGTACAATACGTTCTATTCTTCGCGGTAAAATAATTCTGGAGCTTGTACTATTTTCCACTCAACCAGAGTTTTAAAAAATTCAACGGTCTACTCTGAACTCCGTTCAATTAAATATCCCCATGCACGAAAAACTTTAATAGAAAAACCTAGCGAATTCGTTAGAAAATTCTATTAAATTTCTATTGAACTTTCCACTAGTTTTTGGTCGATTCTATTGAAACGTTGAACAGAAAATATTCAACAGAAAAGGTCAATAGAATTCGATTTTTCTATATAACTTATTTTCTTCAGATCTAGAATTTCTGTACAATTTTCTCGGCTCAAATTTTCCAAGTTTTTTTCATTCTACTTTTCTCTCCTTCTCATCCAGAAAATCAAACAATAAAGCTGAGAAAATTTGAGCCGAAGAAAATCTATAAAAAATATTTCAATAGAATAAGTTGCGCAAAAAAATGAATTCTTTTGACGTTTTCAAAATCTTTTTTTGACAAAAACAAATAGAAAAGTTCAATAGAAATCCAATAGAATTGTCCAGCGAATGCGCTCGGTTTTTCTATCAAATTTTTTCATCCGTGCTGTTATCTTTTTCCCCTATCCATTAGCGTTGAGTCAAGCCAAAAGAAAAAGAAATCTCAACAATTCATTTTCCGCTCCTAGACAAATCCCCGCCGCACAAAAAAAATTATCACCCCTAAAACCGGAGACAAAATCACTCTGACAAACCCGAGGTTCTTAAAAGGGTCGCCACTATAAATTAAAGTAATAAGCGAATGGAAAGTCAAATGAGGGGGGGCCGAGGGAGCCTATACGAGTGATTGATGTGGTAGAATGGATTTTCGTGAAATTTGATAAGGCTTTTTACCTCATTCCCTTTGATGTCACGATAACGGACCCATTTACCAAGACGTGGCCTCCAATACTCCAGCAAGTAACCCTCTGCGTATTCAACCCCCACCCCATTACCAAAACGTCCTTGAGTATTTGTACCAGTGATCATGTGAACCGAATGCAAATCGATTTCAAGCCACTCGCGTGGTTCACTCGTTATTTCGCCTTTTGGACACCATGCGCCGCCATTATTTTCCGTCCTGAGTCTGTTTGTAATTAAAAATCCATTAATCATCGTTGCCCCGGACTGATGGGACTCTTAATCCCCTTCGATTCCCATTAATCCCCCCCATCCCCTCACCAACATTTACCTTGCCTGACGCGGACCGACATTTCCACTCTCGAAACTCGAGCTTGCGGTAATATCTTCGTCCACAATAGCGCCAGATTCCATGCCAAGTGGTGCGATACATTGCGCTGCAATAAATCACAATTTAAACCACTCGAATCTCCCCCCCTGATCCACGAAAAACGACAAATTAAGAGAAATCGAAAAGAATAATCACTTACATAGATCAACACCACTGGTGATCGAGACAATTCCCAGTAGAAATAAAAAAACCCCCGTTATCCTCATCATAGCACCAAAAAACGGGCCCAAACCCACTCGTCCGTCGAAGCCCTACACATCTACAAAAACAAATACAACAGCATTAAAATCCCCATCAATCGCGCGTCATCCCCGTCGCCCCTTGCCCCATGCAACACTCATAAATTGAATATAAATTAAAATCAATAAATTCGCCCCATTAAACAGTCCCACGATGCTCATCCCTTTAAAAATACAGTCTCCCGCATTAAAAATCGATACCGAGTTTTTCGCGCAACCCTTCGAGCCTTTGTATCACTTATTTATGATGAATTCAGTAGTAATTCCCTTGCACCCTCAGCCCTAAAACTGAATGATCGAGCGAGCTGTCCCCATTGTCACAGGTCAGGGTCTGAATTTAATCTGTCAAATCTCACGTACAACAGCTAATGTGCAGTATCATCGGGAATTTCTATTATCACAGTAACAGAATTAATAAAATCGATTAAATTGGTGGGAGAGTTGCATGCCCCACGCGTCCCCGCGACAAACTGAGATATCGGATCCAGTAGCGCCATTCCATCGTCAACCAACCCCTGTCTTCGCTGCTCTCCTCCCTCTCTCACCTATTACCCCCGGGAGGTAGGAGGGTACATGCATAATCCTTTGAGGGAAAACTCCACAGACGCCACCATGACCTGTGTGGCGACACGAAGTACTCGGGCACCCGCCACCCCCACACCCCCGCCCCACCCGCCCTGGGCTGGTTGATTTTTTTTTCACTCGTTGTTTACCTTTTAGGCATTTTACTCCTTTAATCGCCATTCCCCCTGCCTTTATCTGTCCCATCTAGGGGCTTTTTTGCATCGCGATTTTTTTGCGAAATCCATTTCTGTCGGCTTTGTGCGGGAGAGGGTATTGAATTAAATTGTCCATAAATAAATAACTCTTTGTGATAGTCAATATATAATTTATGGTACATTTATATACAGGCGGTTTTCAGTTTTCGTCGCTCGGGTATACATAAATTACATTCGTAGTTTTTTCTTCTTATTCTTTTTCTTTTTGTTGTTTTTTATGTACATGAAATAAATAACGAGGGTTTCTTTGAATCGATTATCCGACAGTGACGGCCCCGTCGATAAAAAATAAGAGAATAATTAATACAGTGGGTACTGAGCCATTGACTTGTTTCTCTTTCTCGTTATAAAACTAAAACTTATGGTATTTATCATTCTGCGGTAAGAAAATTGGGTAGGAGAGGGGGTTTATTAGTTATGGGAAATAAATGCATTCATTCGTCGATTAAATAGTCCTAGGTTTCTTATCGTTTATAGTTTGAGGATTTTTTTTTCTTCTTTTTAGGGGGAATTAAATGATACTGTAACAATTGTAATTGCTGGTTCATCGTTGAATATTATGGTTAAACGCACGTTGTAGAAAATTTTCAGCTCTTTCAGTAGTTTTACATTCGTTATCATCAACGGTTTTTTTTCATCTACCCTTAAACGTGAGAAAGCAAAAGCAGGCTCTAATTTTGTAAAATTTACATAGAACGACATTAAGATCGCATCGAACATATTTTTCCCTCGTCTCTCAGCAAAAAGCGATTACGAACTGACGACTAAAAGCAACATTATTGAATTTTGCATAATTTACATGTCCAACTATCGAAACGAAAGTACTTTTTTACAGTAACAAGCAGTCACTAGAAATGAGGAATGACAGAAATTTTGTGCGTCTTTCGCTTGAGATTAAATTGCAAATGATTGCTTTTTTTTACTTCAGCGCTGTGCAGTGTGTTCTAGTACTCGTGATAAAATAATTCTGAAACAGGTACAATTTTACACTTAACCAGAGCTCCCGTAAATTTAATAGTCTACTTTAAACTCGTTTTAATTCAATATCGAGAATGTTTAAAAAAATTTTACGGATAAAATTTTCTATGATCGTCCAGTACGCATTATTCTCTTTTAAATGGATAAAAATTGACAGACATACCGATCATTTTTATCTCAATTCTCGATATTCAACTTGATAACTGAGGGATACAAAATTATGCTGTGAAAATTGTTAAAATTGTTATTGGAATTACACGTATCATCCTAATGATTATTCTGTCAACAATCCCTCAAATGCAACTGAAAAAGCGTTTTCGTTTCATTACCAAATAGTTTTTCCTCTCAATTGTAAAATGATATTTTCTCTACGACAGAGTGAAATCTAAAATTTAATCATCGTTGCATAGTTTTAATTATCTTTGAGTGACTCGCAAAGGTGCCAACAATGCTTCGATGAAATCGAGTACAATGATTTATTCACGTGCATCTAGTGAAAATTCGTTTTTTCTTGTTGTCTGTCGGTTATGAATTTTCATCGTTTCATTTTTCCATCATTTATTCTTGACAACTTTAACACTAGCATTATTACGTTTTTGTTTCATCCATTTTTTTTTCCTTTTTTTTCTATATCACATTTGTAATCGGGTTTAAATACATGATATTTATTGTTGGTTTATCCCTGTATTGTCAAGTCTCATAAAAATTATGTTTCCCTCATATTTTTATTCCTTTTTCATAATTTTTTTAAAATCCCATTCGTTCTGCTTTTTTTACTCGTTGCGTTGAAGGCGATGTCGGTCTAGAAATAGAATAATAGATAACAAAAAAATTTTCACTATATTTTGTTCATCATTATCATTCACACTTGACTAATATTCTCTACTATTGGTCAATAAACTAGTTTAACTTTTCCCACTTTGTTTATAAATATGCTTTTTTGTTTCATTTCTAATTGGAGAAAAATTGATAAAGACATCATACAGTACGTGCTTATTTGGTTCCGGGAGCACAAAAGGTATATAATATATATGTATATAGCCAAAACGCAAATGGTCACTTGCAAATAGTATTTTTTTCTCAGTCTTATAGCAGTGGCAGTAGATTCTGCGCCGTTCTATATTCGTTAGTTTTTTGTCCCATTAATCGTGTTTTCGATAAAAATTTAATTTTCGTTGTGCGACGAAATATTTCCATTATGCTTTCAAACTGACAACTACATTATAATTTTTTTTTTGAATGCATCCAGGGATCACAAGTACAAAGAAACGTGGAAATTTTTGGATGGGAAAATTTGAGAGAAAAACATCACATTCTAACAATTTCTATTGGTTTTTTCTGTAATTTTTTTCTGCGATTTCTAGTGAAAGTTCAGTAGCTTTTTCAGGCGTTTTTTATGGAAATCGATTGAAAATATCAATTGATTTAGATTTTGACATTTAATCGTTTTATTGTTATAATATTCTTGCTTGAGAAAATTCGGGCCAGGGTTTTTTAATAGAAAAATATCAACAGAATCAATTCCACAGAAAAATGAAAATCTATTGACTTTTTTATATAAAACATTTTCTACTGATTTTTTAAATGAAAACCGTATGAAATTGGTTAAAAAAAATAAAAGAATTTCATCAAAAGTTCAAGTGATTTTTCGTTTTTTTACAGAAATTTTCATAGGAAATATCAATAGCTTTTGGTTGTTATAGAAAAATATCAATTGAATAGATTCCATGAAAAAATATCAACTAAATATATCAATAAAAAACATCAACTGTTCCCTACAGAATATCTCCTATTAATATTTCTTTGAAAACAAACGGGAAAGCTACTCAATTCCCAATAGAAATAATAAAAAAAAACTAATAGAGTTTCCTAGAGAAAGTGTTATAGTTATCCATCCCATTTTTCCACACACAATAGAATAGTCCCATGGACAAACCACAGAATATAAGTATCAATGAGGGTATTCAAATGACATTCACCTTTCGCCCTCAAAAAGTAAAAAAGGTCAAAGAATCCAGGAACATGTGTATAACAAAACAAAAAATGCCCTTATTATGCGTATCTGGTGTGCGTGTGCTCCCGACGTTTACTTCCTCTTCTCTCGCGCTCGGTGATAAGCTGAGGACTAGGAGGACTTGAATACGTTGCATTGTTTGGCCCACGAGTGGGTGGAATACTCATTGGCGGTGGTGGCGGTGGAAAAAAACTCTGCAAACACGCCTGTTCACACAAACCGAGAAATTAGAAAACTCATTTCTTCCATCTTTTCTTATTCATGTGATAATTAAAAATTTAAATAACTGAATAATTATGAATTGCTGAATTCATCTCACCTTAGCACTGCCCCTTGACGAAGACTTTGAAAATACACTCTCGTGTTCACTGCTTGTGCTTGGTACTGGCATTGGTACAGCGTAGTCATAAGTGGGATCTGCCGAGGGAAAAGTAAATAAAAACAAATATTCCGGGAATACGGTGGGGAGGGGAACAACGGATGGAGATAATGAGAGAAATTTTGAATGAGTTGAATGACCACGCAACCGTGAAACTTATTTGATTACCTGAAGGGAACAATAACAAGTCTACCCCACATATTCGTCTGCAAGTACTCTTTTTTTTTAATTTCACAACAGATTCCTGGATTTTATTTTCAGAGGTCTAGTTCAGTAGGCAAACGTTAAAACGGTTCAAGTCGATTCAGGCCTGGGTTTTTTAGAAATATCTCCGAATCTAAGGGAGATAACCAAATTTTTGTAATTAACTTATTTGTAGAGCGAATTACGGGCTACAAAAAAGATTCTAACAAAAATGTTGCTATCTTCCTTAGATTCCGAGATATTCATTGAAAACTGGTCAATTCGTAAAATTGACTTCAACTGTTTTACCGCTTTGTTACTGATTTGTTTTTCGGGATATGACGTAGTACTTTAGTTCATTTCCATTTTTTGAAAGACGTGTATGTCATGGAATTATGTAGTTCTTATAGAAAAAATTTAATTTGAATGAATGCATTATTCATTTCATATAATGAAAACATTTTGAGAATAAATACATGAGTTTATCAATTTTCCAATAAAAATATTGTTTAAATGAGTGAAAAAATGACAAATAAAGAGTCATTTTATCCAAATGTGTCATTTTTCTACGTGTTATCAAAACATATTGTTGTTTTTTCAATATTCTTGCATTTTAAGTATAAAAATCAATTATATGACATTTATACCCTCGACATTAGCGAAACTAAACCCAGAGAAACGATCCATTCGAAATGCATTATTCCTTCCAAATAATGAAGAAATTTTGAGAAAAATACATGAGCTTATTAATTATCCGACAAAAATATTATTTAAATCAGTGAAAAAAGACAAATAAAGACTCGTTTTATCCAAATGTATCATTTTCCAGGGTATCAATACCACACATGCCAAATTATTACCCCACCCCCGTATAATTACCTGAACATTCAATATTATCATGTAAATCCTTATTGTCAATGACAACTGTACTGTAGCCGTAATAAGCAGCTTGCGGCGATTCACGGTACTTATTTTCGTGAAATGGTTCCTGGTATTCATCTAATCTGACATCACCCAGAAGACGATCATTGAGATCTCGGGGTAATGTGGCAAATTTAGCGCCAGTGTAACGATCCTCATACTCTTCCACCCTGTAAGTCATCAGTGTACCATCTTTCTCCATTGTTGTACCATAAGTTGACTCGGGGGACAGATGCTGATGGTTAGCGGGTATTGTCTCCTTAGGATCTAGGGCTGTTGCAAAATTATTCTTCCTCGCTCTGTGTCTCGAGACAATGTAGAATATAGCAACAGCGAGGAGGAGAATTACCGCTGTTAGAACACCAATTATCACTGCCATGTAAGTTGGATCGTCCTGTTTAGCTGTGGACACTGGTATCTCAGGCTGATGAAATATGTCCTTTGAGAGGGTACTTTGATTCTTGATTCTTGGGGTCTCTGTGGTTGGGGGGCTCTCTGGTGTGAAATTGCCGTGGGCAATGTCCGAGTCAAATGTAATTTCACTTATTAATAGCCACTTGGAGGCAAAGGTGAATCGTAATTTGATGAATCTACCGATACGGTGGTGAAGTTTTACGGAAATATTACGGGGTGTCTCGAATATTCGATCCTCCATGTATGCGTAGATTATTGGATCACCGTTGTAGTATTTACCACCGATACTGAAGAGTATGTCGACTTGGGAGAATACCTGGGGATTAATTCATCTGGGCGTTAATTAATTTGGCAGGGATGGGGAGGGGGGATTTTTTTCGCGGGGTTTCGGGTCGATTGTACTGATTATAATGGCGGAATTAGCGGTGGTGAAATTTTGATGAGGATATTCTGATGGCCAGACGCTTTTCAGTAATTGAAAGTCGATAATTCACTGCCGACGGGGAAATCTATTGCAGAGACGTTCTTTTTTATGGATCAAACAGTTGTATGAAAATGTTTTCTAGAGGATTTTACGGGAAATTCTATTCGGCTTTTGCCATTGTTTGCATTGGTAATTATGCAACTTGCCGAGGTTTTTAATAGACATTTTTTGTGGAGAGAAGTCAATAATGATGATTTTTATTATAACTTGGAACTTATTCTGCTGGGATTTTTACTGTGAGAATTATTGAAATTGATTTTGACTTTTTCTTTCTTGAATTTTGTATTGAGGAACAACAAATGAGATCGAACAAATTTTGACAATTCATGCACAAGGATGTGAATAGAATTTGATTTGTTTCTGGAAAAATTTAACTATTTTCCGTAGACTCAGAGACTTCAAGGCTTCGATTTAAGGACATCCACGTACTTTTTACAGTTTGGTATAAACCATACTATAGATTCAACCATTGTCAATCATCACATTTGTCTATTAAATTGCGGGAGAAAAATTTCAAAAAATCACGAATACTCAGCGCCATTTAAATGACATTTTGCATAGGATTATCATTTTTATGAATAAATAATTGAATTTGTTTGACCTTTCGGAAACCTTATTTTTTCAGGCATGAAATCGATTTCTAGTAAAATCCTAAATATGAATAAGTTTGCTATAATTCCGACATGATTTTTATGGTGGAAAAGTGATTGTTTACAAATTATTTATAGAAAATGCTCGTAATTTTCGCCAATTGCACTTTTAAAATTATTTCATCAACCTTCCTCCAAAAGGAAACTTTCTAATTTTTTTTCAGATTTTTTAATGTCTTCTAACCGTTCATTATTAAGATTCAAATTCAGATCTGCAACGTTTAAATAGTAAAATCATTACAAAAGTAGAAAAGCATTGCACAGGAGAAAAACAGCCAAAGTACTTGGATATCCTAAAGAGAGTCTTGATAGAATTTATTGAGTTGAAAAATCTCCCAAAAATTGATGTCAAGATGCAGAAAATTAAATTCTTGTTTCACAGACTATAAGAATTCAATTTTCAACATGAAATAGGATTCTTTGAATTCCTCTTTATGTTCAAAATAATGTTAAACATGAAAAAATAAATAGAAAAGTTGAACATGAACTGAAATTCCCTTTCACCTCCAAAATTTCCATCTGAATAAAAAATATGGAAATGATTATACCTGAACATCCTTCGTAAACTGATTATTACAGAATATGTGAACAGCTGAGAATTCCCGAACTTTGTCAAACTCAAATTTGATGTCAAGTGGGTGTCCCAGTCTGGTGTCATTCTTCCATCCAATCCACCCTTGTCCACGATCATAACCGTAGTAACTCATTTTGAAATCATCAGGTCCTGTGCGACCGTCTGTCAACTGTCCAAGACCACGCCTGAGTTCGCCGTCCCAGTAGCCATCGTACGAGGCATCAAAGAATTCCCAGTTGCCGCGCTTATCGCCCTGTGGCATCGAGTACGATACAACACCGTCGTTCCATAAGCAACCGTATAATTCCACACGCATGCAGACTGTTCTACGGTGATAGCTGTATGGTAAAAATCGAATTTTACTGGCCCAAATTGGTGGCTCTAGCTCGTGCTTCGACTCTAGATATGTGTTCGTATTGCCTTTTATCACCTGCGAAATTAATGATTATTCTCAGGTGTTGAACGGGGCTAGAGACATCTCATTGAATTTTTTATCATGGGAGATTGACTTTCTGTTTCACTTGGGGAATAAGAAAGAAAGATCGTAGGACGACCTCAACTAGTTTTCAGGTAGTTTTAACACTGACAGAAAAATTCTTTACGTGACAGGGAAATTAGGGAGGGTGGAAAAAACTTTTATCGTTTTTTCAATGTCCGTAGCTCAAATGACAAATTATTCGGTTTAATTCGGTCTAGCTTCATTCGTCAAGGTTCATTTGTCAAGGGGAAACAATTATCCCTTTTCTCTTGAAATTCAATGAATCATTGAAATTCCATAAGAATTTCTCATTATGGAGGATTGACTTCCGGTTAATTTTCTACGATTACTTTCGTACTTTCCAAACATGTCATAATTTAAAGCAAAAAAAGTCGTTTGAAAGAAAACACGCGAAGAAAAATGCTATAATATTTAGAAACATTCCATCAGTTCCATAATCTAAATTTTTCTCCATCGATTTTCGATTAAATATTCAGTCTGATATTTAACGGGGGTTCATAGAAAAGTCAAAGATTCATTGATATCTTCATTCTGAGGGAAGATTAAGATCTGAAATTTGATGGAATGAAAGTAGAAAATGAATTGATGAGAATTATCCCATTTCAGTTGAAATTCCGCAAATCATTTTATAGGGATTTTTAATTGAATTTTTCATTACTTTTCCATTAATTATCTATAATTACTTTCGTATTTTCCACACATGTGATAATTTAAAGCAAAAAAAGTCATTTGAAAGAAACACGCCTGGATAATTTGAAGAAAAAAAAACACGCGAAGAAAAACGCTATAATATATGGAAACATTCCATCAGTTCCGTAATCTAAATTTTTCTCCATCGATTTTCGATCAAAAAATACTCAGTCTGGTATTTAACGGGGGTTCATAGAGAAGTCAAAGATTCATTGATATCTTCATTCTGAGGGAAGATTAAGATCTGAAATTTGATGGAATGAAAGTAGAAAATGAATTAATGACAATTTGAAAATCTACATTTCGGGTGTTGAACATGGGGGAGACAGTTCACCGAATTTTTCATTGAGGGAGTTTGAGTTGGAAAACATTGAGAGAAAAATATCGTGACGATACCACTTATTAAGGTGATTTGTTCCTTCCACAGGAGAATTCAGAGATTATGCCGTGTTTTCTAGATATTCGAAGCGATTTTATCCGTTCCCTCATCAAGATTCTCCATCATCGATCGAGCGGGCTTATTTTCAATGAAGAAAAATCTTGATTACGTCTGATGTTTGTTGGAGTGAATGTAGAACGCAAATTGATGGGTTCGAAAATCTACATTTTACGTGTTGAACATGGGGGAAGACACTCAATTGAATTTCTCATTTGGGGGAGTTTGAATTTCGCTTTCACTATCTCTAATGTTGTACCATTCATTAAAGCGACCCCTTCGGTACAAGATGAAGAATTTAGAGATTATGCCGTGTTTTTCAGATATTTGGAAACATTTTATCGATTCTATAATCAAGATTCTTCTTCATCGACAAAAAATAGTTAATTTCAACAGGTAAATACAGAAAATTCAAAGATTTATTGATATCTTGGTTGTGACAGAAGATTAACATCTCGTTTGTTGGAATGAATCTAGAGGAAAAAATGAAAATCTGGAAATTATTCTTCGTCCGGTTTTCGGGACTCTATCGATCTTCACAGGGGGGCCATTAAAAAACTTGAAAGCACACCGACAGGCCAACTCACTTATTGTTAAATATATTTGCTAACTGTGAAGAAGAGACTGAAGTGAATATCATCAAATGAATGTTTGTTTATGGCTAATAAATGACTTAATTGACAGGAAAAAGTTGAGAGGAAATATATTATAGCATTCGTGATTAGCGAACGAATAGACCTATCGAGGTTACCATATCGATCGGGTAACCCCACTCATTTCCATCTAAAAACAACGGCATTTTAAAAATTATTGTGATAACTGCAATGTACCCCGGCGATTTGGAAACATTTTATCGATTCTGTAATCAAGATTCTTCTTCATCGACAAAAAATAGTTAATTTCAACAGATGAATATAGAAAATTTAAAGATTTATTGATATCGTGGTTCTGACAAAAGATTAACATCTCATGTTCATTGGAATGAATCTAGAAAAAAAATAATGAAAATCTGGAAATTATTATTCGTCCGGTTTTCGGGACTCTATCGATCTCCACAGGGGGGCCATTAAAAAACTTGAAAGCACACCGACAGATCGGCTCAGTTGTTGTTAAATAAATTTGCTATCTATTAGGAAGAGCCTTAATTGAATATCCCCAAATGAAAAATGATACCCTTTTGTCTCTCAGTTGAAAAAAGTGTATCATTTTTCGACAGCTAAAAGATAAACCCATCGATTTACCATTTTCCATCGAAAAACAACACCTCAACAGCTATTTTTATTACTGCAACCAGTAAGTCAATCATGTTCAACATTTTTCTCCTGTTGAGATGAGAAAATCGTTATGTGTGAAGTACGTTATAGTAAAAAAAAATATGGGCGTACTCCACTTAATGGGCGGAGGAAACATAAATCTCGCAGACAGGTTTTGTAGAATCGAGTTTCTAGTTTGAATCATATAATTTGGATTTCGGAGTGGAACAGTCACGGCTACAACAAATCCACGATCGATTATCATTAGAGTAGAATGGATCAAAATCTTATTATTAAATTTTCATGGAACAATAGTGAGTTTTCAACTCGTTCGGACGTTATCAAAATTTATGATATGTTGCCGGCAAGTTTTTACGACATTCACTATCGGAAGAGCTATTTATCTAGAGATTAGTGGCGATCTGGAAATAATTCGATTGACCAATAGAACTCAACGATAATCGATGTAGACCACGTTAAATCCCCCGATGTTTCGAAAAAATTTTCAATTGGAAATTGAATTTAAATTTATGATGTGTGATATTTTATGATAGTGATTATGATGTCCACTATCAGAAGAGTTATTCCGGGAGAATTAAATTGCCGTCATCCCAATGATGAAGACCTTTCTATTCTCGATATCACCAGATTTTTAGACACATCAACGCCCCTAGATCCTCCGAAAACGTTTATAGACTCATCATCTATCCGACGTATACCGTTATGAATAGAAACATTCATTCGAATTTTCATCACAATTTCGGATCGTTTTGGGTTCTTTGAACGTAATTAATAGAATTCTTGAAATGAAAAGGGCCATTGTAGGAACTACTAAACTACTTTTCTCTAAGTGATAGCCTCCCTCGAACTTTCTGGTACGTAAGAAGCTTGAAAGTCAAGGGTCTGGTACTTTTCGTTAAGGAAGTATTCGTCCAAAAAAGCCTTCATCCAAAGTATTGGACGTTCCACTGTTTCAATTTTTATTCTAATGAATAAAAAAAATGAATTTAAACATAAATCGAACAAGAATAGATTCATTTCAATTCATCAACAATAAATGTTGAGTATAATGAATCAATACTTTGGTTGAATTTCCTGTTGTTCATTTCTTTATTCCCATGCATCCTTCTCTAACTTAATTAACAATCGACTAATAATGAACGAAAAATACGCAATTAGTAGAACTCGAAATGAAAAGGGCCATTGTAGGAACTACTAAACTACTTTTCTCTCAGTGATAGCCTCCCCCGAACTTTCACGTACACAAGAAGCTTGAAAGTCAAGGGTCTGGTACTTTTCGTCAGAAAAGTAATCGTCTTAAAGACACTTCAATCGAAATATTAAAGATCCAATTGTCTCAGTTTTTATTCCACTGCATAAAAAAAGTGAACATAAACATAAATCGACCGAGAATAGGTTCATTTCAATTAATAAATCATAACTATTGCCATTCAAATGCACTAAAATGAACCGAATGAGCAGAAAAGTTGACGAAACCGTTTAAAAATCATTTTTGTAAATAAAAATGCATCAATACTTTGGAATAATCCTTCTCCAACTTGTTTGACGAATTGCACTGCGAATGAAGAATGATTGAACGAAGAGTGGAGGAACCAGAAGTCGAGGGTTTCACATTTATTATTCAAACGAAAAAATTACCTCTTCGCCTCTCGTGTTTCTGTATCGCACCCACTTTCCCAGTTTCGGCCTCCAGTACTCAAGTACATAAGCCTCAGCAAATTCGACCCCCTGGCCATTACCAAAACGTCCCTGTGTACCCGTTCCAGTAATCACATGCACCGTGTGTAAATCAATCTCAAGCCACTCATGTGGCTCAGTCGTAATCTCTTGTTTTGGACACCATGCACCGCCATTCCTCTCTTGCTTAAGTCTAAACAAATAAGAAACGATGGATTATTTACACATGTCGTATCCCCTCGACTCTTGAAACTCAAAGTTTATTTCGTATTGATAAGATTGTGGGATTTACGGTGATAATTCATTCGAACTTTATCCGTTCAATATTGAATGTACACGGGGAAAGCAATGACCTAATAACAAGACTAATTTCTTCAGTTAGATGCATCATATTTTGAGGACGAATCGCTTGGGAGAATTTCGCAAAATTTATTAATTTATTTATAAGCTCTTTATTGATGTCCTGAGATAAAATTCCCTAAGGGCAAAATGATATTATACAAAGAGTTTTTGCACAGGTCCTGCAACAAGATTGGCGATGGAGATTTACTAACATTCAATTTCTACCACTCTAGACTAAGCTAGTCCCCAAATTTCGAGCTAAAAGTTAGCATTAGTATTTAGGAGACAGGCCATGTATGAATTTCTAGGACTTGATAAAATACTTCTTCAACAGTCCACGAAATTTCGATTTTTTTCCAGAAATATAACAATGATTTTTCGTAATTTAGTACTGAATATTCATGTTTCACGCAATTCTGAGCCATCCACTTGCCTATAGAGGACCCAAATTTGGTTTTAAGGCTCTATCTCTCATAGTTTCCGAGATAATCGCGAAAAACGAAA